CCTGGAGCCCCATGGACTTTTGCTACCACTCAGCAGAGAGATGGCGAGGTGCTCAACTTTTGTAACAGTACTTAAGTGGATACCTAAAGTGTAAACTCATGAAAAAAATTGTGGTGATCTGTCATGGAACCACCCCTCTGAAGAAGATAACAGTGGTTACCCAGACCTTGTTGCTGGTTGCAAAGGAGCCCCCATAACAGATTAAGCTTCAGGGACCCCCAAATGTAGGTCCATCACTGTGCAGCAACCACTCTCTGCCCTCCAGCGTCCACTGCCTTAGGTGATCATCTCACTTTGCCTTGTATGGAGTGTTGCAATGGCCTGCAGACCACCCTGGGATTCCATTCTGGGAGGCAGCAAGGCTCCTGAATGCCAGTTGCTGGAAACCACAGGAGAAGGCTCTTGTGTGCGAATCCTGCTTGCTGGTTTCCCACAGGCAGGTGTTCAGCCACTGTGGGGCCAGGATGCTGGACCAGACGAGCCATTGGCCTGATCCTGCAGGCTTTTCTTAAGTTCCATGGGGTAAGGTAGCTATAGGCAAGTTGTGCCCCTCCCATGTGTTATTGGACTTCAGCTCCCATTATTCCTGACCGTTAGCCATGCTGGCTGTGACTGATGGGACTTGGAGTTCAATAACTTCTGGAGGGCTGCAAGCTCCCCATCCCTGGGCAACAAGGGGGACGCACATTTGAAATTAAAGATATCTGAAGAAAATGTAAAGTACGCAGTGGTGCTTCTGGTATAACTGCTGCATCCAGGAATGGAAGAGATACCCTAGCTTTTAAAAAGGGTACTGATGGCTGTTGTCTTGGAAGGGATATTTTACTGCCTACATCAGGAAGGGCTGATGTGAGTTGTTGCCAAAAAGTTCTGGAGGGCAACAGGTTGTGGAAAGCTAGACTAGGATGAACTCTCCCGGGGCGGGGGGGGGGGATATTTTCTATGTCACAGAAAAATTGATCAGTCAAAAGAGGCAAGTTCTTGCAGAGAATTCCTCTTTGAATACAGTGGTACCTCAGGTTAAGTACTTAATTCGTTCCGGAGGTCCGTTCTTAAACTGAAACTGTTCTTAACCTGAAGCACCACTTTAGCTAATGGGGCCTCCTGCTGCTGCCGCGCCACTGGAGCACGATTTCTGTACTCATCCTGAAGCAAAGTTCTTAACCCGAGGTACTATTTCTGGGTTAGCAGAGACTGTAACCTGAAGCATATGTAACCTGAAGCATATGTAACCCGAGGTACCACTGTACATGCAGCCTTGGTGGTGATTTCAGTAGTGTAGGTTTTCACATAAGTAGCATTTAATCAGCATCCTGGGGCCTAACACTGAGCATTGTGTGGTTAAAAAAACAACAGCAGCATCTGTAAAACATGCATTTCACAGAACATTCAATGTTTGTGTTGGAACAAAATCATACCAGAACATGATACGGTTGAAGTGTGGACAATGGAAGACTTGCAGAAGCATTCTGTGGTTAGCGGCAACAAATAAAAATGCTATCCAAGTGGGGTGAAAAGCAATCTGGTTTAAGGGACCTTACAATTTTGGCAGAGTTCAAACTCAAATTCAGTAAATTAATTGTGCTAGCCGAAGGCCATGATGAACCCATACAAACACAGACATTCTAAAGTATAAAATGGTTTAATGGTAAAATTCTATGCATAGTAATTTGGGAGCAGAGTCAAACACAGTGGGATTTACTTCTAGGTAGACATAGGATTAGGGACGCAGGTGGCACTGTAGGTTAACCACAGAGCCTAGGACTTGCCGATCAGGTGGTCGGCGGTTTGAATCCCCGTGACAGGGTGAGCTCCTGTTGCTCGTAGATAAATAGGTACCGCTATGGCGGGAAGGTAAACAGCGTTTCATTGCATTGCTCTGGTTCGCCAGAAGCGGCTTGGTCATGCTGGCCAAACGACCCAGAAGCTGTATGCCGGCTCCCTTGGCCAATAAAGCGAGATGAGCGCCGCAACCCCAGAGTCGGCCACGACTGGACCTAATGATCAAGGGTCCCTTTACCTTTACCTAGACATAGGATTAGGTTGGATGTACGGTAATATAAATTCCTCAAACTTTCAATCCTCAGGGGTTGGGTATTACCGGTATTTGACAAGTGCTACTTACTGAAGCATGCACTGTTCTTTGTTTATCGAGAAGTTATAAGACATTGCATCAATCCCTTTACTGATTACAAAATAAAAATGACTTCTCAGTGAAGCGGATTAGTTGTGCAAGAGTGCCAAACCCACTTTCACTGTGCAACCTTGAACTTGCCAGTCAAGACTCCTGCATTGCAGAAGGTTGGTGACCCCCCCCCCCAAGTCACCTCCAACTCTACAGTTCTTCTATAATTCTTTGAAATCCCACCCACAAAATAGAAAGGGTCTGAAGGCACCCCTACACCTTGTCTTGGAAACATTCCTATGAAGAATAGATCTGTGCTGTTGGTTTAACTGGCAGATATCTCTCTATCTCTCAAAAAAAGTCTACTACTCTGTGCCAGGATTACAACTGGCAGCAGCTGCAAGCTTCCAAGAGACTTGTTGCCCAAGAAATGTCCTAGTCACTCCAGAGAATGCAGTATATTTCTGGGGAAATATACTATTTACTATTCTATACTATTACTATACTACTATTCTGGGGAAATATACTACTCAGACACCCATATACCAATATCTCGATAGTAAATCTGTCACTACTGCAATTTTTTAAGGCCTGGCATTAGGAACATAGAAAAATGCCTCGGGTCTTAGCAGACAATGTATTGCAGGCACTGGCAGGCAACAGCTCTCCAGGCAGGAGCTTATGCCCAGTCAACCTGGGACTTTCTGGCAAGGGAAGGTGCTCTACCACTGAACTACAGCTCCTGCCACAATACAATTAATTTGCAACCGGCTGGAGTTCAGCATTTGGGCCGTGCATGTATAAGAGCTTAAAACACAGCTAAGTCATTCTTTTTCTCAATTCAAACCAAAAGCTGGCTTGGGGCAGGGGAATGCATCAAAACAAAGTATTTTCCTAGGAAAAGACAGGATGGATATGGGCTGTGAATAATATTGGATATACACCACTTTCTGAAACAGTGGTGGGAGCGCTCAGGATGCAGAGTACATGGGAGCGTGCGCAACCGTCTAGGTCTCAGCAAATAATGAATGGATCAGTACTCAATGTTTTCAGAAGGCAACAGCAACATTTTACCTGCAGCTTCCTAGCATAGAACATTGGGACTACAAGCAGCTCCATAAGCACTTGAAAAGGCCACATTATTGAGAGTTGGTGTTTTTGAAATACACAAAGGAAGGGTGAGCTAGGAAAAGCCAGCAAGGTGGGGGAATAGCTAATTTCAGTGGTTGCTAACTCCCAGTTTGGGGACTCGATTGGGCCTTTTCGCCACATTCCCCCCAAGACCCTACTGATTTTGGCAGCAGCAACAGGATGAAATTAAGTTGGTGCCATGCTGGGGAGAACAGAGCACAGCACCCTGGTAAAAAATGCAAGATGTTCTCTTCTTGATCATCCGATTGATTATGGGATGGGGAAAAACACCTCCTCAGCTCACCTGCACCAACCAGCTGAAGAAGGGGCTGTATGCAAGTGTGGGGATAAAGCCACCCAACTTTTGGCCATAGCCACCACTGTTATGCAACCCTGTGTCCAGGGGTGAATACAGACCACTGGACTAAGCAATGGGCACATCTGCTCTATGTGAGCTTTTAGAATGGGATCCAGTGTGGTTATCTGAAAGATAACCTCTTTCTCTCTAACTTACATCACCAATGTTCCAGGTTTTTGGCAAAAAAAGGAGAAAATAAATCCTACTTTCACTGCATTATACTACTACAGTGCCTCAGCAAATGGCAATAATGTAGTTCCACTGGGGAAGCCCACCTCACGAGAAGAGAAGACTCCCTGGAAAAGCCCCTGATGTTGGGAAAGATTGAGGGCACAAGGAGAAGAGGACGACAGAGGACGAGATGGTTGGACAGTGTTCTCAAAGCTACAAACATGAGTTTGACCAAACTGCGGGAGGCAGTGGAAGACAGAAGTGCCTGGCATGCTCTGGTCCATGGGGTCACGAAGAGTCGGAAACGACTAAATGACTAAACAACAACAACTGGGGAAGCATCAAAGAGGCTAAAGTTAAACCACAAACACACCTGAGGTGCAAGTTGCCGCTTAACAAACCACCCTGTTAAAAGACTGGAGACAAATGTGAGTTTAGAGTGAGGCATAAGCAGCTCAACATGTTTTATTATCCTTCACAGGTCAACACTGCACAATCTCCCACCAAGTTGTGTAAACATACAATTACATAAGAATCAGAAAACAGAACAGACATTCGTCTCCTTCAGTGTGGGGGGCTTTTGTGACCACGGTTTTATCTTCAAACAAAACCCAAGCACTTTAAATCAAATTATCCAATTAACTCTCACACACACCCCTCCACAACCCCAATTTACAGCTGGCCTTTCATTCTTCTTGAGATGTGCAATCTAGAAGCTTGCAGTCAACCCTTGGGTCCTTAAAGCATTAATTTCCAATTATAAAAACAAACAGAAATGCCATATCCACTACAGGCCATTTTTCTGTGTGGAATTCCTTAGTTAATTCTCAAAAAAGGAGGCCACCAAAACCTGAGCAAACGATTAAAAAAAGAAAAGAAAACCAGTACAATTCAAAGCAATCCCTTTGCTGTAATTGCCAAAACAGTCTCAGAGTGGAATTCAATAATGCGATTCTGAAGGCGCTGATGAAGTTGTCCGTTCCAGAAGACTTCAGGAGCAGCTTCTGGAGTGAGACACACCCTTGGAAGGGATCCTGTCTCACCCTCCCAAAGGCTTTAAAGTGCAGAACCTGGTGGCTATCCCTCCATGGCTTTTTTCTTTTTATTGACAGAGGACACACTTGACTGCCTTTGCTTTATGTTAGTTCCTGGGTTTGAAGACTACCACATTATTAACTGCTCGTTGCTGAATTTCTCGACTGAATTGCTTTTTGGTTAAAATTCATTGCAGGCTCGATCCATGGCTGATAGTATTCTGCAAGAGAAATGACAAGCGTAAAAACAAGGCTTTTCTCACGGCACAAATTTGTTTTGCGTACTAGGGCAGTGTTTCATAAATTCGGGTCTCCGGCTGTTGTTGGACTGCAACTCCCATGATCCCCAGCTAGCAGGACCAGGGAGGATGGGAACTGTAGTCCAAAATGCTGGAGACCCAAGTTTGGGAACACTGTACTGTGGGCTGCATCCCCTGCTTGCATTGCCCACCAGCCCTGCCTACCTGCCACAGCTCCTTACACTTCACAGTGGTACCTGGTGAGAGAAGGTTGTGCTGGTTTCCCCAGCTTTTCAGATCACTTGCAGAGAGGGGAAGGGATGTGAGGCGGACCTCCCTGCACCTCCCACTTCCATCTTCAATAAGCAGCAGCAACCTGACTTCTCCCTTTTGCCACCCACCTGCCTGAGTCGCTTGCTCTGCCTGTCTGCTCACACACTTCTGACTGCCGCCAGGGGGTGGGAGGACAAAGAGCAGAAAGACTCCCCCCGCTTTTCCCACTGCCAAGAGCTGTAGTTTTGAAGCACAGGCTCTCTTTTCTTGGTGGCAGCAGCAATGTGAACATTTCTCCCTTTCATTCCTCTCCCTCCTTGCCCTTTGGTGACGGTCTGCTTGCTTCACTGGCCCGCTTATAATAATACAATTTATTACTTCTATCCCGCCCATCTGGCTTGGTTTCCCCAGCCACTCTGGGCGGCTTGGACATTTCTTGCCTTTGTTCTGTTCCCCCACCCCTGGGTGCCAGCGGTGGAAGCAGAAGCAAGGGCCCCTTGCTCTTCCCTTTTGCTTGGGCAGCAGGATAGCTCAGTTGGTTAGAGCAGGGTGCTGATAATGCCAAGGTTGCAGGTTTGATCCCCATATGGGACAGCTGCATATTCCTGCATTGCAGGAGGTTGGGAGAGATGATCCTCTTCCAACTCCACAATTCTATGATTCTCTCACCTTGCTTAAACTTGGCTGCAGATGCACACTCCATCACTAGCATGACAAGCGGCAGGTGCAAATATAGTACGGTAAGATTAAACAAAGATACACACATCTATGGTTTACTGGCATGTAAATGCTAAAAGCACATTTCATGTAACAGTTCTCTCTCCCTCTCTGCGTTGATAGAATATCTATCTTCAGATTACTTATAGAAGGTAGTAAGAACTAGCCCAAATATACAATTGACGTTCTCCTTCTAGAAAATGCACATCACACCTCAAATCATTTGTACACAGATTTTACCTGTCAATGGGATATCCTGTTTCACAGACGTTGACCAAAGCATACAGTTGTCTCAGAGCATATTCATACTGAAAAACAGAAACAAGCAGGAGAATTACACCTTTCCCCCACTCAACGCATAATCCTAAGGGAGGCAGCCATTCATCTGAGGGCTGTAGTCCCTTTCAGTGGGGAGAGGGAAGTAATGGCTATGGGTGAAGCTGAAGTCTGTGGGGGTGAAACCAGAGCAAGAGATGGGTAGGGGCATGGCTTCTCTCCCCCTCCCCTTCATTCCCACCCAGTTTGCTGTCAGGGGAGGTCAGACCACTCTTGCCACTGACGGCTCACTCACAGAAGTAAAGCAACTGATCAGATAAACTATCCCTCTCAAGACAACCAAGATATCTTGATGCAAGCTCTTCCCAGAGAGAGATGCAGCAGTTAGCCCAGTCTACTCATCACCTTGCTTGGCTCCAAGTCTGAAGAGACTTACCACAGGGGAGGCATGCCAGTTGAAGCAATGGCTCTTGAAGTGACGCACTGAGGCCTCGTAACAGTCGTAATTCATGAGGCTCATCCTCTCCGATAGGAGATGCTCTGTGTGCTCACTGGAAAGCGTTATGAAGGATATAATCTTGCGCATGGCATTCTGGATTTGCTCTTTAGCCTGTGGAGGAAGAGACAAGAGTAACTCTTTTGTTTTCTAGAACACAGCTCCTTAGTGCCCTCTAGGCAACTGCGGCTCTAACAGAAGCCTCCTGTTCTTACACAGCTTTTGCGGGGGAGGGGAAGGGAAGGGTCAAACCAAAGAAGTCTGCTAGCCACAACCACCATGTCCATTTGCCTTTTGAACATCTCATTTCTGGTCACATAACTCAGACCTGGAAGTTATCACAGAAGTCTCGGCTGTGACATTCTTAATACAAGAACTGAAAGCATCTTAGGATGCATTTCGCATCTTGCTGTGCTCAGGTGACCACTGGGGGAAATCACAGCACATCCCCACCACTCATGTGGGGGGAAACATGTCTCTTCTGTTCACGCTGGAACAGATGGTTCCCGCAGTCTGCTGTGAAAGCACCTTTTCTGGGGACTGTGCAAGCAAATCATACTGAAAAAGGAAGCTTGGGAAGTTCCAGTTTGAAAACAAAAAACCTCCAAGCTAGTTGGCAGCCTGTTGAGGTGCTTCTCAGATCATGAGACAGTATCATGGACAACATAGACAGCAAGTATTTCGTACCGCAGCATGCTGACCAACTCTCAAAAACTGCTACCACTAGGCAACGCTGAAATCGTCCTCGCTCAAAAGTTCACCACCAAAATTTGCAGAAGAGGTATTTTAAGGAAGCAACCCCCCCCCCCAACCTTTGCACGTGCAAAGCAAGAGCACTCAAGCAGATCAGCGCTGAGTATAGTGCTCAGGGGCATATCCTGTCTGTTTGTGTAGGACCAAAGGTGAAATATTTCAGAAGCTCTGCAAATGCCATCTTGGTAGTAACAATCAGCTCATATAAGTTTATATTTTTTATATAGGCCGATCAGCTTGCTTTGATGTTATCTGCATGCTTGGGGTGCTGGTCTCTGAGCCCAGGAAAGGAAAATATCTGTAAGATTTGGGTATTTGCCACCTATGCCCTTATCTGGTCAGGTGAAGCGATGGGAAGCCCTGGCCCAAGTGACGTATGCTGCTTTGTGTATAAAGAACATATGAATATGTTTGCTTGGGCATGGAGAAGCCATCTCCTTGTTGCGGTGTCCGTCCCATGTATGCAAAGGCTGCGAGACCTGACAGGCTGATTTGCTGCAATTCTACACCTTTCTTTCATAAAGCACTAGAATGGATCACTCAGATGTTTTCGACATCCTTTTTTTTGGGGTATCCCTGCATCAACCACTGCACAGAGCCCTCCCTCCTTTGGGCTGGTGATTCAGAACATTGTTCTATCAAATGAAGTACGACACGAATGAGCAGCATTCGCATGGGTGCAGTGAGCTCCTACTTCTGACCCTGCCACACTGTTGATAATATTGCGCCCCTCTCGGCTCTTACCTCCAGGTGTCTCTTCATCTCTCCTAGAATCGCCTTGGCCTCAGCCGCGTCGTTTGTGGCCATCAGTTTGCGCTTCATGATCGCAAGGGGGACGTCGGGGCTGGGGGTGAGGTCATAGCGACTCACGGGGGGCAACGAAATGGGGGCGCTGGAGGCGCTTCTTGTGCCCTGGAATTGCGCCACTTTCATGTGAGCGATGGACTGCAAGGGGGGGAAAGAGAAGAAGAAAAAGACACCCTCCACTTTAATGGGACGGACGCATTTTTTGGGAAACAGCACTGCTTTCAAAAGCTTGCAATTGCTTGAAAACCTGGAGGGGACTGGTATTCTCTGTCGATTGGTTTGTTCTTCCAGCAGCCCCTGAGACAAGATGGGCAAGTTTCCTAAGGCTACCTGGTGGATTGAAAGCAAGGATCTGAGCTAGGTCCTCTCGCATCTGTCTCTAGGCACTGTTAACGCACCCAATAAAACACCTCGAATGGAGAGGCCATGGAGGAATTAAGCTGCGCTTCAAGAGCAGCTGTGATTTTATAAGCAAGTGATTTACAGAGGCCTGAATGTACAAGCTGTATCCAAAGTATCCATACTTGGCGATGCACTGGGAGCCAGAGTGGGGTAATGGTTAAGAGTGTTGGACTAGGATCTGGGAGACCCAGGTTCGAATCCCTATTTTGTCATGAAGCTCACTGGGTGACCTCGGGCCAGTTACCGTCTCTTAGCCTAACCTGTTGTGAGGAGGAAAATCATGTGAGATCCTTGGAAGATAAAGGTGGCATATAACCGTAACAAACAGTAATAATACTCAAGAGTAGACCTATTTGCCTCACGACACTACAATTCCCGAGAGTTCTCTAGAACGAGGGATTTGACTGTTAAACTGTAGCTGTGAGAGGAATGAAGGTTTCCTACCAACTCTCAGGAGCCTTAACAAACTACATTTCCCAGGATTCTTTGGGGCTAAAGTTGGATGCAACCTTGAGAAGCTACCTTATACCAGGTTAAACTGCTTTGTCATCTAGCCCAGTATTGTCTACCTACTCTGACTGGCAGAAGCTCTCCAGGGTCCCAGGGCATGTGCTACCCAGGGTGATGCCAGGGACTGAATCTGGGACCTATTGCATGCAAAACGTATGTGCTTTACCACAGGGATACAGGACCCTTCTGCAATTTGAAATTGGCTGAAAACACAGAGGGCTGGAGAAACCAGGAGTCGTCTCAGCTCTGGAAGGAGAGCATGTTGCAAAACTGGAGGGAAAAGGGGGAAAGAGGAAGCAGCCATGCCCTGGATAGTTGGTCTTGCAGCATTAAGACACAGGTTGACTGCTGAAGCAGGGCAGGGTTGGGCCTTTAAGCCTCCCGAGTAGGAATTGCGCCTGGGGCCTTTAGCAAACTACTGAGCTCCTTGAGAAGATGAACAGAGGACAAGTGTAAGGAACAAATTGCACAACACAAGCCCTCTAAAGTAGGGTTGCTGTAGGATGCAACAGTACAGAGTGATGGATTAGGAAATCCTGGGTTTAAATCCTTGCTCAGTTGTGAAGTACACCAGGAGACCTTGGGCAATCACTTTACCTACTTCACAAGGCTGTTGTGTTAAAGTGGGGGGGGGGGGGTGGAGGGAAGGAAGGAACCATGTATGCAACTCCCCCCCCCCCAACTCTTGGGAGTAGGGTAAGGAAAGTAAGAAATAAAGGTTCTGTTCCCCCATTTGTTTCCGCTTTTTCCAGTTTCAAGATTTAGGATGCAGACTGGAAGGTCCGGTTCAAAATACAGTGGTGCCTCGCAAGACGAAAAGAATCCGTTCTGTGAGTCTCTTCGTCTTGCGGTTTTTTCGTCTTGCAAAGCAAGCCCATTAGCGGTTTAGCGGATTAGCGCTATTAGCAGTTTAGCGGGCTTAGTGGATCAGCTGATAAACGGCTTAGCGGCTTAACGGATCAGCTGTTAAGTGGCTTAGCGGATCAGCTGATAAGCGGCTTAGCGATCAGCTGTTAAGCGGCTTAGCGGCTTGGGAAAAAGGGGGGGGGAAAGGAAAAAAACCCCGCAGGAACTCGCAAGACATTTTCGTCTTGTGAAGCAAGCCCATAGGAAATTTGTTTTGCGAAGCACCTCCAAAACGGAAAACCCTTTCGTCTAGCGGGTTTTCCGTCTTGCGAGGCATTCGTCTTGCGGGGCACCACTGTAGCTATGATTTGGCGTACAGTCATACCGTGGGTTACAGAAGCTTCAGGTTGCGTTTTTTCGGGTTATGGACCGCCGAAGCCTGGAAGTACCGGAACGGGTTACTTCTGGGTTTCGGCGGTCGCGCATGTGCAGAAGCGCTAAATTGCGCAGAAGCGCCGAATCACAACCCGCACGTGAGCAGACGCGCCGCTGTGGGTTGCAAATGTGCATCCTGCACGGATCACGTTAGCAACCCAAGCATCCACTGTATTGTTAGAGTGCTTGACCGGAAGGTGGGAGACCTACTTGGCAATGAAGCTCACCGGGTGACCTGAGGCTGGATGCCGTCTCTCAGCCTAACCTACCTCACAGGGGTTGTTGCAGTATTACAGACAAAACCACACAAAACACACTGTCCGCAATTGCCCATCTGAGACCAAACACTCACCAAGTTTCCATACTGCATCACATGGCTGGTGTTTGTATGCTTCTTTACCAACAGAAACTGCTTGTGCAGAGTTTCTTTCTTCAAATCCTCCTGCAGACCAAAAAAAAAGGCATAGAGAGAAAAAGAAAGAAAAGTTGCACATGATTCAGCTATTTACATACCAACGCAATTGAAAAGGTTTTACTTCCCTTTTGGGAAAGAGGAACGACAACGAAGCAATTGCTGACCAAGTTCCTAATGCGATTGTGCAATCAGAAAACTTGAAACGGTACTTCAACAGACCTCCCATCGTGAATCATTAGTTCTTAGTCAGTTAGGAAGTCTGCAAGGAATGACTGGGCATCGAGAACTATGAAACAAATAGTACTATGGATTTATTCAGTCTGCAAGTTTGAATGCCATTTGATTGTATTTTTGTTCAACAGTTTGTGATGCTTTCATGACAGGTTTGCGGAAAGTTCTTTTTTCAAATTTATACATTTTCAAATTTATACATTTCACTGATTTTACAATCATTTTTACATTTCAAAACCTGACTTCCTTCCCCCCACTCCTTAAATTTATTTTTAACATTTTCTACATATCAAATTTAACTTAATTTGTTCATTTATTCCTCTTCTTTAAATATATACTGTTATGAAACTGTGGATTATAATAATCCTGCCAATGCTTTTATCTGTTTGGTTTATGGAAATAGTTCTAATAATAGTAATAGTTTTGATAAATACAAGTTATCTGTGCCCTTTTCAGCCATTTGCAGCCTATATCTGCCCTGCAGTTAGTTAGAAACACAACAGGTCTTCCTGCTACAGTCCACAATGGCAATGCATACAACCTCTTGTTGAATCTAGTATTTGCTGGACTGCCGTCCCCTGCATCAATCCTCCCACCAATAGTCATCTTAGGCCAGTGGTGTCCAAACTTTTTTCAAAGTGGGCCAGATTTGATGAAGTGAAGGGCTGTGGGGGCCGACCCAAGTCTTGGACCTTTTTTAGGAGTGAAGTTGTTGATCTTAAACCGACCAGTGGGCCGGATTAGGCCCCTGAAACAGACTTTGGACATGCCTGACAGGCCATCTTAGCCCTTTCCCCAGCACACCTGCTGTCTGAAGAGCAGAGGGTACCAACTGGGGGGCGAGGGGGAAGACTTCTTAACTTAGAGCAATTGACTCTTGAATCTATTGGTGTTGGGATATTGAGAAATGCAAAGGAGCCGTCATTAAACCCTGGCACCTCTGAAGATTCCCAGGAGAGCACTGTGACGTTAACATGAGAGTGTTGGAGGTGAAATAGTTAAACATGTTGCCCAATCAGAACCCAGGGGGGTGGAGTCAGTGGGACTATAAAACCAGCTCTGGGAGGGGCGAAGGGAGGAGTTCGTTGGGAGTTGGATGGTTGGTTGGAGTGGGAGTGAATTGGGATAGAGTCTGTGGGTAGGTTGAGTTCGTGTAGCGAAATAAGTTGAGTCAGGAACAGTTAGGAGCTAGGAAGACAAGTAAATATCTGAGAGGTGGTTTAGTGAGTGAGAGCAGGTAGCGGAAGTTATAGGCACCCCATGATCGTAATTGACCGATACCGTTTATGAAACCACACACTTGTTAAACTGCAATAAATAAACGGAAGTTTATGTTCCAATTTAACCCTGACTGGACTCAGTATTGTACCAGGTAGGGCCTGGGTGGTGGCAGTGAGAAATAAAGTGGTGGCACAGGGATCAATAGACGGTGAAACGTCCGGGGACCCTGTGTGATCGCCACAAGCACCACCAACATCATGGGTGGAGTTGCCCCCAGAGGCTGAGGCAGCAAATTCAAGCTTGCACAGGTGTCGAAAGCTTGTGGCTTGTGGACTCAAGATAACGTCATCACTTCTAGGTGACATCTACAACGCCCAGGCCTTTAGACGCTGCTAAATCCTCTGTGCAGGATGCAAGTATGTGGATCTAGAGATGTACCTCTTGTGAGTCAGTTCCCTGCTTGAAAGAGGATGTCTCTACTAGTAAGCAGGAAGCCACCTTCCTACTTAGATGTGGCTGGTAATACTGGGGTGCACAATGGAAAGCTTGTACTAGACATGTCTCAAGTCAGCTTAGAGAAAACACTCCCGAGAATACACTGCCTTTGGTTCTCCTACTCTAAAAGGGCCCATTGTGGCTCTTGGTGGTAAACAAAACTGCACTAAATAAAGCATTTAAAAAACAAAACAAATCAAGATCCGTAATGTCAGATGAAAGAAAAAGCAAGTTACTGGATCTTGGGGACTCACCACATCGGAATCTTCCATCCAATTGACACTGTACCAGTCACCAAGGTAGGTTTGCCTCTTGTCATCAAAATAACACGCGTAAGACGATTCGCTAGGATTAGCAGCAGTCGTGGCGTAAACTGCAAGGCAAATGGAGGGGGCACTATTTACTTGCTTCCCGACAGCCGGCACATGGCTGCCGTATGCGCTTGTCCGAGTGATCTAAACCCAGCTGAAATTAAGAACTTTGGTTTTAAGCTGATTTTAGACACATTTGCTCCAATCCAGAGCTCTGCGAACATTCAAAAGCCTTCCCCTAAAAGTGATGAAGAATGAATGGGAAAGCTTTCACACATATAGCTCCACACATGGAACTATGCAACCCTTCAGAGGGATGCCAATTATGTGCCAGCTGGAATGGTTGGCGAGCAAAGCAGCGACTGGGTAGAGGAAAAGTAAAAGCTCTCAATATTTAAACTCCCATCCTCAAGGCCCCCATGTTGTTCTGCTACAACCTCCATAATCCCCATTGGAGTCTCATCTGAGCACCCAAGGTTGGTGTAGATCAGTGCAGTGAACTTCCAGACCCCTCCAAGCTTCGCCAGATGGCAGAGCCACTGCAGTCAAGCCAAGCCTAACCTGTGCTATACCCAATGTCATGCATAGGAAGTCAGGTGTGGGGCAGGCAAGGACCTGACTCTGCTGAAAGGCTTTCCAGGCACCGGCAATCAACTGCAAAGCCCTGTGATCCGCTGACTGTCAGCTGATCTTGTGACGCCTCTTGCAAAGCAATCCAGAAGACCTCACAACTGCAAGACTAAAGGATCAGCAGAGCACCTTGAAAGGTGCTTTGCAGGCTGTTCAGTTAACTGTATAGTCTTGATTTCAAACCCTGCAGACAAAAAAGGGGTCACCAGACCCCTGATGCCAGACGATTGACAGCTAGGCGGTTCTAGCCTCATGCTGAATTTGGCAAACAAAAGGGTGGGAGGTGATCCAATTTCCCACCCCTGGTGTAGATAAGACTTAAAAACCATATTTAACCCAAAGTGCAATAATGCTTCCACGTTTTCAATACCTCCCAATGAAGACGTTTTGAGTACAATCAGATGACTGGTCTCAGACCAGAACGCTGACTGTTCACTTACCATTGATATCATGAGGTAGATTTTTCATCATTGATCCAGATTCACATGCTTCAATGTAAAACACCATCTGCAATTTATGTTAAGAACTAGTGAGACACACTTCTAGATGTTTGGGTAAAGATCTGGTACCTGCTTTTTCTCCCAAGTATCCTTTCCCTTACCCATAAGCTCACTGACCCACGCTCCATCTCCATCAAATAGCGAAGATACTCTTTAATATTTGATTTGTAGATTATTACTACCCACCATGCCTCTAGACTAGAGGGGGAGGGAAACTGGCTTATTGTGATGTGCAAACCATACCAAGGTAATTAAATCTCAACTACTATCTGAAACCAGCCAGCTTCATCAAACACAGCTTGTTTCAACAGCTAACCATAGTTAGTTGAATGCAACACTAACCAGTAGTTAATCTAACTCAGAAGCTTCCAATCTTCTAGCAAGCACTCACTAACCTTATCCACATAACGCTATTCAGAAATTAGCATCACATGCAAACTGGCCCTACCTTGCAAAAACCAACTTTCACTGAATTGTCCCTAAGTTCAACCCTGGATTTCTCTAGCATCCTTTCTTGCCTTTTTGAATAGCTGTGGTCATAACAGGTATAAAAAAAGGCGCCACCTTACTTCAACTCCACATTTACCAGAATTTGTTGGACCTTATACATGTTTCATATTCACTCAGAAGACGCACCTTCCAAGTTCAACAGAACTTACTTCCAGTTAATCAAGCAGAATTAAAATAATACTGCCTTAAAAAAACAAGTGTTTATTTTCACATTACCCTCCAGAGCAGAATGCATAGAAACCGGCTGAACATTATACACAAACTAGATACTCTGAAGGTAGGATGTGGCACAAAATGTTGGGTGGGGTTGTACCATTCCATCCCAGGTCAGGGTCTCCCGGCTGACCTGCCCAGTCTCACAACTGGGTGGAAGGAGGAATGGAATGAAGTCGTGGGATGAGGGAAAGATACATGGAAATCAAAGCCTGTAGAAAGAACTATTTCCTTTTCTGGAGAGGCCACTTCCTGGTTCACATAGGTTATTTCCTTTAGGGTGTTTTCCCACCTTAAGGTGTTTTTGAGAACCTGCAAACTTTGGGGTTAACCCATGCTGACTGATACTTCTCTTTCCAGCTCTGTAAGCTCAGAAAATTTGAACTGGGAAAGAGAAAGAGGACACTTCCCATTCCAGTTTCAGAACTGTATTACTCCAGGTATGCCAAGGCAAGATTCTCTCAATATGCAAGAAAAAGGTGGAAAAAGTCCAATAGGTTTTTATTTTTATTTTTAAAAAAGGAGAGGGGGAAAGCTTAATCATACCATCTTTCCACATACTTCTGTGTTATTGAGTTTAGGACTCTACTACAACATCCTTTCCAGTAACAATTAGCATTTAGAGCGGAAGAGTTCACAAAGCTGAGTCCTATGCAATTATAATGGCTGCTACTCTTAAAATTAAATAAATAAATAAATAAACAAATAAATAAATGTGGAAAATAGTCATTTTACCTTCTGGTATTTTTTGTGATGATACATATATGAAATGGTCTTGTTCAATTCTTCTACGTGAAGCTGTAAAACAAGGAGGTACCTGATCATATCCCACTGCTGTCCACTAAAGTAATAAGAAACACATCTAGCATACCATCAGGCATATGAAGCACTCCAAGTAAGTTATCAGTGATCTTTACAATAACCTTGCAAGGTGGGCTTGTATTGTCACAATTCCCATATTAACCCAAGGAGGCAGGGAAGGCCAAGAATTCAGCCCCTGCTCTACTGAAAACACTCACTGAGTGTCCTGTCAATGCATTCTCATGGCTGTTATATATTACCCAAAGTCCCAAAACAGCTCCTTTTCTAGCCTTCAATGAGTGAGAGAAAAGTCTGATACAATATACTGATACAATGCAGCCAAACTGTAGCTTGAGAAAACAAGTGTTTCTAGGCTTGCGAACTAAATCAGTGCTACTTAAGACAGGGAAAAAAATATTACGTACATCATCAGATGGAAAAGCCAGAAGTCCCGGGGCGCCATGATCAGTGAAATAGACAAATATGTGATCCCGAGGGCCACTGCAGAGAGAGAAAACCTTCTTAATTTCCAATCTTTTACTTAAATTCCAACTTGGTGTTAAAACTATATTGATGAAGAAATGACGGCATTCCATTCTCACGTCTTTCCAATTACCTTCGTAGTACTTTTCCCGATCCTTTATTCTTCACTGCTTCAGCATCACCTCTGAGCACAGCAAGGAAGTTTGCTGGTGTAACATCCTACAGGTTGGAAAGAGATTTGAAGCTGAAATGCAGCCAGCAACATTCCTTTTAAAATAAAAAAATAAAAAGTTGACTTCTGCGTGTTGGCTCCTATCCAGCAGAACTATGGCTTTCAAAGAGTGCTCTGGGGAACCTTGCAAAAAAAAAAAAAAAGCTCGCCAGCAACACACATCCACAGAACCCTGGAACTTTAGACTGGCTCTCAGTTCATGTGGGGAGACAGAGAGTGTTGGGATTTTGAATACGTGCAGCTTCACACAGAGTCTATTAGGAGTTGGCCGACAGCCAAGGCAATGTGAAGGAGTAAAATCTGCCTGGTGATACAGAGGCATGGAGACAGCTCCATGATTGGTCAAGCTCTCACGGGAATAATGATTTATGGCCTACTGACTGGAATGTGTTAGTCAGAGAGTAGGAGTTGGAGGCTTGAGAGTTGTGAGTCGGAGGAGAGAGCTAGTTAGATCTGTGTTCTGTTCTGTTCCTGTAAATAGTCCACTGTATATAATAAACACCTATAAGTACAAGTTACTGGTTCCTGCTTCGTCCATCCTGCCTGCAGCCAATTGCTTTTGTGAACTCTGCATATACTGTGCTAGGTCTGGCTAAGGTCCTGCAACAAGTCAGGAAGTTGCAAAACACCAATAGAAAGATCAAGCATGGTTGAATCATATACCCTGCACAACTGCACCCCTTATTATAGACAGTGTTTCCTCAGAGTCTCTGTGTACTGGCCCACTACTATGAATGGGGGCTGCTTTGTAGGGCAGATTATCCCCAGTAGCTGCACTAGGATGTGGGAGTAACTGGTTGGGCTGGAGTTTTAGGAAATTCAGTGAGTTAAAAAAATCTTATAGGCTAGTGTCAGCGACAGTGTCATCAAACATCATTAAGACTCCAATATCAGTATCGGTCTATAGTATCCCTTTAATAAACCAACCATCTTAGCTTAAAGTTCATCCTGCCTCTGCCACAACCTACTATACATGCTACTAGGATGCTTCGAAAGCATTCTGAGTAAATTGATGGCGGTGGGAAATGAAGGAAATACAGATAGCTAAACTTAATACAAGTGAGGTTGAGATAAGCGAGTATCCCCAACAGACTTGGAAAGCTAACCATGAATTATGAATTGATCTCTATGCCCATCAGCTGCAGAACTAAGAAGCAATTGCCTGGAAGACTTCCAAGACTTCAGGCTGCAATTCAAGGAGGGGGTGATCTGCCATGCAGGAGGGGGTTTGGATGCAGTGGATTTTGTGCTAGTGGACCGACAGTGTGCTTACAATTAACTAGTCTCGCTTCACTTGAAATATGTGGTTTACATTTAAATTGAAGCAAAGTCTCTAGGTTCTGGACAAAAGCATCCGAACTCAAGTGGCCCACTCTTCAGGTGGGTTAATAAAATCCTATTTCTTCGGGAAACTTGATATTCAAAGCTAGCAATGTTCCTAGGTTACCAAGCGAATAAATCTAGTTCCTACCTCTTTTACGTAGTCTTTTGGTATTCCTTTGTACACATCTGTACCATTGGGCCTGTTGATGATGATGCCTTTGGTTGGATTCCTGAAGCAAGGAAGTGGACAGGAAATGTTAAAAGTGGCAAAAAGTGAAGTGATTTCTTTTCCAAGTTGAGAAAACCTCTACAACATGCAGTAATGGGCTATTCCTGTCCAGACAGGGGCACAGCTGGGTCCACCAGCTGAAGCTGATGGAAGGCATTCCTTGCCACCAAACTGTGCTTCATGCAAACAATCCAGGATCAGGGATTTCCCTCTTTCTGTGGAAAACAGGAGACTGAACACTTGAGAAGTGTAGCAGCTGGCCCCCTTCTAACCGTAAGTGAAGTCTGCCATTCTGTGAGATGCTTTTGTTAGGTCTTGTAAAAGAGACACTAGATTAATTTACAGCAGGGGTAGGGAACCTGTAACCTTGCAGATGTTGTCAAACTACAACTCCCACCAACTCCTTGGGCCTTCAGGCCATGTGCGCCGGGAGCTGCAGTTCAGCAACAAATGAACCACAGGCCACAGGTCTCCCACTTCCGATACGCAGCAACAGCCCTGCACACAAAGTTCACTTTCCTGCCAAAATTCTGATACTTACTGCTCATTGAAGGCAATGTCGTCATACATCATCACAACGATTTGTTCATCTGGAATGCCATTCCGGTGCACAATTTGATAAGCATGGCAGGCATCAGCCTGAAAAGACACAGGGCAGTTTTATTTATTGGGTGATATTTAAATGTGTTACGGGAAACAGAAAAGTTGTAGCACTTGTCACTGGCCTCCAGTGGAAGTCTCTCTTTTCACACAAAGAAATCTCCAGTTAAACCTGGGACAATCCACTCCAAAGCCCTCTTTCATTATAAACCAATCCAACCTGTCGCACATTCAAATTGTGCGCAACCACTTATATACTATATGTGATTTCACATATGCGCGTAGTACCCAGGAATGTAACACGCATGTAAGTGGGAAGTCACTTGTAGTTAAAATGAGGCAACGGAAAAACAGAGCCAGGTATTGGCACACTCAAAGGAACCACAAGATATGCAAAAATAGGGGAAACCCTAAGAGGGTCCCCCCCCTTAATGTGGACAGAGATATTCTGTGACTACAGAATATGTAATGTTTGTTGTGGGGAAAACCTGGGGTGGAGAAAAGCCAAGCAGCTATAAAATAAAAGCTGGTTAGAGAAACTCAGCATGCCACAATCAAAGGCCCTGTCCATTTGATAACTTGATATTCTCACAAAAATCACTGCACTGCAGTAAATCCAAATAGGAATGGGGTGAAGGGGAAAAACTATGAATGGCGATGCTTTTACACTGCTTGGGCAGGAAGATATTGAACAAAATAGATAAGCAATCTGTACAGAAAGGGTGGCAAATTGTGCCCCTTCCCCAAATGCTGTTGGACTGTATCTCCTATCGTCCTTAATCACCTGCAATGTGAGCAAGTGCTGATGGGAGTTGCAGTCCAACCTCTGAAGCACACCAGGCCCCTCACCCCTGCTATGCAGAAACAAGTCCTGCGTCATGTAGGCTTGCATATATGCCAAGAGAACAACTCTCATGACTTCAGCACGTTCTCGCTGTAGGATGCCATCTAGCGCCTGCAAAGGCCTCTTTATTTCCTTGCCCCTTTCTCCAAGACAGCCAAACACAGATGTTTTAAGTTTCATAATACCACTTTAAGAAATCACTTTCAAAATACTTCAAGCGTTAAGTAAACATTGAAGCCTTTTGCAAAAACCCACCACAATGTTTACCAATAACCTGTTTAAACTAGCAGAGATTCCTCCACACACACACCCCCCCCAAGGCAAGACAGGACTGGATTCAGATTTAGCCATGGTTAAAAGTACAGTGGTGCCTCGCAAGACGAAATTAATCCGTTCAGCGAGTCTCTTCGTCTTGCGGTTTTTTCGTCTTGCAAAGCACGGCTATTAGCGGCTTAGCGGCAATTAACGGCTTAGCGGCTTTAAGAAAAAGGAAACAAACTCGCAAGAACTCGCAAGACGTTTCGTCTTGCGAAGCAAGCCCATAGGGAAATTCGTCTTGCGAAGCGACTCAAAAAACGCAAAACCCTTTCATCTAGCGAGTTTTTCGTCTTGCGAGGCATTCGTCTTGCGGGGCACCACTGTAGACCTACTGAAACCAATGAGACTTAACAAATTTAAGTCACGTTGCTGTCAGGGGGTCTTGCTCTAACTACAAGTCTTATTCAATGACATATGGCCAAGTCAGGTAAGTGGATATAGAATCCCAGCCTGAATTTCTACAAAAAGGAGCTGGGCCACGAAAGGCAACAGACCACATTTGGGCTGAGGGTCTCTTTTATGATCTGTTTTTGCATCCTTTCCTACAAACGCTGCCATCCAAATCTGCAGCTTTCGTCTTAATGAAGACTTGCACACTTCTGCACTGAAGCTCAACCACAGACTGCCTAGGAGCATAGGGACCACAGGTTAAGAAACCCTACCCTGGAAATTCAAACCTGGAACAAATCAAAGTTACTTAATTGTGCAAGAACCTACATCAGAGACACAGGCTGCTATTATAAGAAGTCTGTGACAAGCTTTCCTCACATGTCTGAATTTCAGTTCATAGTCCTTGCCTAAAGAATTTAGACTTCCTCCTCCTCCTCCCACACAGTGTTGTTCGATCCTCTACCTCTAACCACAACTGCCTCTCCCTGACCTGCTTGCAATTGAGGTTAGAGAGCTGAGTAGGGATTGCACAAGCTTTCCCACGTAGCTCTGTTTGTGCCAGCCTACTTCTGCACTATAGATGGGGAGGGAAGAAGTGTGCTAGACCTAAATGTCTGTGCAAACCTTTCAGGCTTGCAGGATTACGATGGCACAGAGAACCACAGCAGCCTACCAACACCACTTCAATAGAAAGAGTCCCCAGAATGCTAGGGTAAGCTTTTCGGACTGCAATATTTAGCAGATTAATCAGCTAGTTTAACAAGCTGGCAAGTAAACCGCCTGATGACTTAATCCCAGTCACTCTTATACTCAGCTCATGTGATGAATGTCCACACTTGAGGATTGCGCCATCGTTATGTGCTGACTTGCAAGTGTAAATATGACCTAGACACAATCTTCAAAATCACCAGACCATTCTTCCCCAGTAGACTCTAGTGACCCTACTTCTGCCTAGAGATGGGGAACCTGCAGCTTCCCCTTTTCTTGCTGGGACTCCAACTCCCATCAGCCCCAGCCAACATGGCCAATAGTCAGGGATGATGGAGGCTGAAGTCAAAATATTTTTGGAGGGCTCCAGCAAAGGTAGGGAACTGTATCTGGCCAATGGACTGGATCCCTGATCTCCCACACCCTTCATGGGCCAGGTGTCACAGACGGGCAGAGCCACCCACCTGTCAACCACACAATCTCACAGTAACATCAGGTGACCCATTTTTGCTTGCATACACAATTAGCTGATTGTGTTAGCAAAGTCTGGTGCTAGCAGGACTTTCTAGGTGCCACCAATCAGAAGCGCCTGCAAACCCCCTATGGCCCAGGTACATCTTTACCCACCTCACATCTGACATCATCTATGACATCAGGTGTAAGGGAAGTGGGCGTGGTTTGGCCAAAATGACCTGGTGGTCCAAGTGCGAAAGCCGGCAGGCCAGAGGTTCACCACCTGTGTGCTATGTAAGAGAAACCAACTGGTGTTCATGCATGCAAGAGCCAGGATAGAGAACTCAACTCTGTTCAATGCAACAACTCCCTTCGCCCAGCCAACTCTTACCTGGTGTCTGTAGTTATACCAGGAATTGGAACCAGCGACAATGACAACCCAATGCTTGCCTCCATCCTCAGGGTCCTCCAGGGGAAAGGTGCTGATTCCTAGGACAAAGCTGAGCACTACCGCTATCTTCAAAGCCATGTTCTTTCTTCCTTCTTCACGAAGTACAGGAACTATGGGACACAAATAAAATGTCAGACTAGGGGAGGAATGAAGGAGAAGAGCCACAATCCGCCTATGTCCTTTAAGTTTTATTGTGCAGAGCCAGTTTTAAGAGACTGTAGTTCAAAGTCCAGAGGAAGTGGGACACTGGATGTTCTTTCTGGTGTAGGTAAAAACAGAGGCAGTTTGAGTTCTTACTGGGGCTAACACAGGTAACACAGTTTTACGAAGGCTCAGAATTAAGACCCACCCAAGAATTTCCAAGTAAACATGCACTGGGTTGTAAAACCATTCTTGCCAGCAGTTAAAACCAGCAGGAGACAAACTTCCTAGAATTTGGTGTAATTGCATTTCTCTGACCAAGGCGCCATCCTGATGGAGGAAATGGATGGTTCTGTCTGCCTCAGAATTAAGAAAAAGCAGAAGAGAAATGGCACTGCAGATCTTTTAGCAACCAACGCAACAACACTGGTATAGATCATGGCTCTGCGCCTGCCAACACATCCTTCAAGACAATGTCTAGCAGAGGAAGCAAATCTGCAACTTCCTTTTCAAGGCGGGGGAAATGAGGACACACAAATCCAAGATATGGCAGGGAATCTGAACAAGACTCGTTCTCACATATTGTTCACCACATTGTGGCAAATAAAGTATGTGATGCTGCCAGTCTAGGAAGGTAGTGCAATAAGGATCATGTGTCACAAGATTAGGGCGACATTCATCTAGGTTCTACTCAAAGTAGGCCCACTGAAATGAAATTAGGCACCATTTGCAATATAAATTTAAAGCAGTATCATTACTACTTTTAAACCATCAGGGCTTACCCTCAAAGAATCCTGGGAAGTGTAGTTTGTTAAGATTGCTGAGAGATGTTAGGCAAACCCCTATTTCCTTCACAGAGCTACAGTCCCAGAGTGGTTTAACAGTCAGTCCCTCCTCCCAGGGAACTCTGCAAAGGAAATAGGGGTCTTGTGACAATTCTCAGCGTCCTTAACTGCAGTTCCCAAGATGCTTTGGGGGAAGTTATGACTGTTCAAAGTGAATGTACAATGCATTAAATGTACAATGCAGATGAGGGTCTTAGTCATCCTTATTGATTTCTAAATAGGACTAGCATTAGATACCACCATTAGTGATTGCAGCAAGATAATGATATTAAGTAGATGCTTCATGGTGGCACTGCGGGGGGGGGGGTACTTTTCTGTGTTGGCCCCAAATTGTAGCGCTCCCTCTGCATGGTGGTACGTATGTTTGGCCGCTGCAAGCTTTTAAAGTAGATTTTTTTTATTTTAAAAAATCATTTATTTCAGTCTGCCTTCTTCTAAATAAGGCTTACAGTGTTAGAGAGCCATTTTAAAGGCGAATAGCTTTTCTATTCATTCAGGATATTTTGTCACTCTTATTTCCTGTAACTGGCCTATGTTTCTGAAGCAGCTGATTCTGCAAGGTTTTTCCTGTGTTTTTTAATGGCGTGCAAGCTGACTTGTTTGAATTACATCCCAAAATATGCCCTATAATAATAATAGTAATAATATTTATTTATTTATACCCCGCCCTCCCCAGCCAAGGCCGGGCTCAGAGGGGCTTACAAGCAATAATAAAAACAAGATGAATGATTACAACTTAAAAACAAAAATAAAATACAACATTAAAATAATGGAACATTAAAATATTAAAATGTAGCCTCATCGCAGGAGGAGAAGGAAAAGAAAAAGAAAGAGAGGGAGGGAGGGAATCAAATTGGCTCCAAGCCAAAGGCCAGGCGGAACAACTCTGTCTTACAGGCCCTGCGGAAAGAAATCAGATCCTGCAGGGCCCTGGTCTCGTGAGGCAGAGCGTTCCACCAGACCGGAGCCAGAGTTGAAAAGGCCCTGGCTCTGGTTGAAGCCAATCTAACTTCCTTAGGGCCCGGGACCACTAGGGTGTTGCTATTTATGGACCTTGAGGCTCTCCGTGGGGCATACCGGGAGAGGCGGTCCCGTAGCTACGAGGGTCCTAGGCCGTGAAGGGCTTTAAAAGTCAAAAGCAGCACCTTAAATCTGACCCTGTACTCCACCGGGAGCCAGTGCAGCTTGAAAAGCACTGGGTGAATATGCTCCCATGGCAGAGACCCCGTGAGGAGCCTCGCTGCAGCATTCTGTACCCGCTGGAGTTTCTGGGACAGCTTCAAGGGCAGCCCCGCGTAGAGCGAATTACAGTAGTCAAGCCTGGAGATGACCATCGCATGGATCACTGTGGCCAGGTTGGGGCGGGAAAGGTAAGGGACCAACTGCTTGATGCGGCGAAGGTGGAAAAATGTCGCCTTGGCTGTTGCTGTAACTTGCGCCTCCATGGAAAGGGAGGCGTCAAGGATTACACCCAAACTCTTAACGGAAGGCAATGGCACTAATTGGGCCCCCGCAAGAGAAAGGAGTTGGTCCCTCATCCCCATGCCATCCCGACCTAGCCATAGGACCTCTGTCTTCGAAGGATTTAGTTTCAATCGGTTCCCATGAAACTATCCAGCCACAGCTTCCAAGCATCTGGTCAGTGTGTTCCGGGCCGAGTCGGTGTAGCCATCCATCAGCAGATAGAGCTGGGTGTCATCAGCATATTGGTGACAGCCCAGCCCAAAGCTCCGGATAATCTGGGCAAGGGGGCGCATAAAGATGTTAAAAAGCATCGGGGAGAGAATTGGGCCCTGCGGCACTCCACACACCAAGGAGTGGCGCGACGACATTTCCTCCCTAGTGCCACCCTCTGTCCCCGACCAGAGATAAAAGAGCACAACCAGTTACGGGCTATGCCCTGTATCCCCACGTCTGCGAGGCGGTGGTCCAGAAGATCATGATCGACCATGTCAAAGGCTGCTGACAAATCTAAAAGGATCAGCAGTCCTGACCCGCCTCGATCCAGTTGTCTACGGAGATCATCTGTTAGGGCAACCAGAGCCGTCTCCGTCCCAAAACCAGGACGGAAACCGGACTGAAATAGATCCAATGCCGATGTATCCTCCAGAAACCTACCAAGCTGTTCAGCAACCGCTCTCTCAATTACCTTACCCAGGTATGGAAGATTTGAAACTGGGCGGTAATTGGATAGGTCTAATGGATCTAATGAAGTTTTCTTTAAGAGTGGACACACCACTGCTTCCTTCAGTTCCCCTGGGAATGTCCCCGTGTCAAGGGACAAATTGATAATTTCAACCAGGGGGGTCCGCGCAACATCTGGACACTCCCTAATCAGCCAAGACGGGCACGGATCAAGGAGGCAGGTGGTGGGCCTACCAACTTGGAGGAATCTATCCACATCAGTAGGGAGTATCCGATCGAAATGGTCCAACACTGGACCTGAAGTCAGTCGAGGGGCCTCCAGTTCAGTCACTGTATCTAAATTGGCAGGGAGGTCACGGTGGAGCAACAGGACTTTCTCCGCAAAAAAGCTCGCGAATGCCTCACAGCTGTGGGTCGAATTTGTGCTTAAATTTGGTTGTCCTCCTAAGGACGTTATTGACCTAATTATTCTAAAAAGTTGTGCCGGGCGAGAGCTAGTAGACGCAATGGAAGCTGCAAAGTAAGATAATTTTTAGCAGCTTTCATAGCCATCTCATAGGCTTTCATAAGCGTCCTATAAGATGTTCTTGAGGCTCCGTCATGAGTCCGTCGCCATACTCGCTCTAGCCATCTGAGATCCCGCTTCATTTTCCGGAGCTCCTCAGTAAACCAAGGGGCCCGGTTTCGACAGGGTCGCAGAGGGCGCTTAGGCGCGATCTCATCAATAGCTGCCAAGAGCCAGTTATTCCAGTCCTCAACAAGGTCATCTAATGAGTCGCTAGGAGGAGCAGGGTTCCGCAAGGCTTGTCGGAATCTATCAGGATCCATCAGTTTTCGCGGACGAGCCCAAATAGGTTCGCCACCCGAGCCGGGGAGGAGCGGGAAGTCAATCTTGGCTTTCAGAGCGTAGTGATCAGACCATGGCACTTCCACAGCGGGGAGCATGATCACATCTATGCCAGCCCCAAAGATCAGATCCAGCGTGTGGCCTGCTTGATGAGTGGGGCCCAAAACAAACTGGGAGAGCCCTAGTGTTGCCATGGAAGTCACTAGGTCCAGAGCCTGTGAGGAGGGAGCGGCATCGGCATGGACGTTGAAGTCTCCCAAAACCAGTAGGTTTGGGAACTCCAAGGCCCAGCCCGCCACCACCTCCAGCAGGTCTGACAGGGTGGCTGCAGGTGTGCTGGGTGGTCGGTACACCAGCCAGACAGCCAAGCTCTCCTTGGTGCCCCACACGAGACCAACACATTCAATGCCGGAGATCGCCGGTGATGGCAGAGCTCTGAAAGAGCAATCCTCCCAGAATTACAACGCTACTCCTCCCCCCCCCGACCCACAGTCCGCGATTGATGGAGGACAGAGAAACCTGGGGGTGTTATCTCATGTAGGGAGACTACTTTGCCTTCCCGTACCCAGGTCTCCGTCACGCAAGCCAGGTCAATCCCCTGCGAGACAAAAAAGTCACGCATGGTGGCGGTTTTGTTGCCTATGGACCTGGCATTGCACAGCACCAGTGACGGAGGTGTGTAATCCTTGCTCTCCCTACCCTCATCCCTTGGGATGGGGCGTAGATTGGAAGGGGTTCGAGGATCACTGCATCTCGAAACCCTTCGCCGATAGAGATATCTAGCCCCACTGCCATTCCTCCCTAGCCCTTCAATTGTGGAAATCCCAGATCCCATACTAGCCTCCCCAATAGATGGGTAACATCCCCTCAATAACAAGCCATCCTTGGGCCAGGACTGCTGGCTCAAAATGGTATGGGAAAGAGGTGGAGGTCTGATAGGGTAAGAATCCCTAGAAGATAAAACCCAACCAACCGCACCCCAAGCGGGGGGGACAGTCCCATGGTGTTTCATTAACTGTCAATCCCCCTCTCCCTCCTGGGTTAATTGGAGGATTGTTGGTTCTATCTGTGGCTGTGGAAGTATAAATGATTTTAGAAATAAATTAAATGCTCTGGGAGCATAAGCTCCACCAGGAACAGAAGATTCAAGCATGTAGGTTCACGATTTCCATGTAGGTCTAGATGCCATCATCCAGTTCTCCCGATTCTGGGCTGCAAGGCCTCCCCCAGCAGGCTCACCCCTGTTCTAAATGAAATGGCCTATGAATCTATGTGCACCCTCTTCTTCACACGCTTCCTGTGCTGCTGGTTCTGTCATCCAGTGGCAGTATTTCTTTCAAATCTTTTAGGTAACCAATGCCATCGTTGATTTGCCTAACAAGGAAACCCTTAATTGTTGCAAGACACTCTGGGATGCTCATGTCTGTGGTTAGCTGCTATCCAGTCCTCCTGTGTGAGTGTCTAGCCACCCCCATCCTAGAAACAGAATGCGCCCTGGAATGCATCAAGACACCCACTCACAGCTTCTTCACATTGAACAGGAAGATCAATAGCAGCAGGCAAGCGTCTTCCATGAAAATTAGTCTGGTGCAACCGATTGAGGAACCCCCGGGGTAAGAACACCACATTGCCCAATTTCTCTTGGATTGCCTTTATCCCTTGTTGGAATAATTGACAGTGGACAACATAATTATCACAATTTAGTTATACAAACACTGTTAGAGAAGTAGGGCAGCTCCAAGCTAGAGGAGAAAGGGTGCGTCTTCCCAAAGATGCAATCGTACTCACGCTCATTGAGAGAGCGACTTACTGGGACTTGCATCTGAATAAAGCCTGTGTAGGATGGGCAGAAGTGATGCGGGTGGCGCTGTGGGTTAAACCACAGAGCCTAGGACTTGCCGATCAGAAGGTTGGCGGTCCGAACCCTCGCGACGGGTTGCTCGTTCCCAGCTCCTGCCAACCTAGCAGTTCGAAAGCACGTCCAAGTGCAAGTAGATAAATAGGTACCGCTCCGGTGGGAAGGTAAATGGCGTTTCCGTGCGCTGCTCTGGTTCGCCAGAAGCAGCTTAATCATGCTGGCCACATGACCTGGAAGCTGTACACCAGCTCCCTCGGCCAGTAAAGCAAGATGAGTGCCGCAACCCCAGAGTCAGCCACGACTGGACCTAATGGTCAGGGGTCCCTTTACCTTTAGGATGGGCAAAGACAATGGTCTGTGGTGAGCATGGAAGGAGACAGGAGGAGCATGGGCCTCTAGGATGATGTGCAGCCTGGCAGGAAACTCTTAGCTCCTTAATCCGAGCTTAGTGAGCACGTTCACGTAGCCCAATGGACAAGGTGGCCACCCAGTGGCCTAGTAGGACATAGGAATCCTTGCCCATCACCACAGCGTGCAGCTAGGATAAGAATATAGCCAGGCACTGCCTAGTTAGCATTGCTTCCTCCTTCCCTTTGTGAGCAGTTGGTGGTACAAAGGGCAAGAGGGTCTTTTCTGGTATGTGGAGAGGCCTGAGGAGTCTCTGGGACTCAATGGCTTATCATTCTGACGAAGACAAAAGACGACGGTGGGCAGACAAACTCACCAGGCACATACACCCTGTTATGCTACAAGGAAGCCTGCCCTGAAGTTTACTTCAGTTCAGTAAAGTCACTTATTTATATTTAGGCAGACCATTAATAGTACTTTTGGCACAGGTTTCTCTTTTTAATATTTAAAGACACTTAGAGAGTCTATCTGGAGCCAATTAGATCCAACAGATAAATGGCATCAGTTCCATTACTTTACAATAATAGTTCAATAGTGGCTGGGGAAACCCAGCCAGAAGGGTGGGGTATAAATAATTAATTTTTTTTTATTATTATAATAATTATAATAAATTATTATAATACTTAAACATTTATATAGTGCCTTAAAGCACTTCACGTGTAGTTTCTAGTTATACTGTAATACTTACAACAACCCTGTGGAGTAAAACCAGTGTTGTGCCCCATTTTGTGGATGGAGGACAGAGAGAGTCGCTTCCTTAAGGCCACCTATTGTGTTCACAGTAGGTGAGTAATTAAAACCAGGAACTTCCTAGGCAATAGTTTAGGCCCCATCTGTACAATAGATTTAAGAATCATACAATTGAAGAGTTGAAGGGAGCCCAAGGGTCATCTAGTCCAACCCCCTGCAACGCAGAAATCTCAACGAAAGCATCCATGGCAGATGACCATCCAAGCTCTGCTTAAAAACCTCCAAGGAAGGAGAGTCCACAACCTCCAGAAGGAGACTGTTCCGCTGCTGAACAGCTCTTCCTGTCAGAAAGTGTTTCCTGATGTTTAGCCAGAATCTCCTTTCTTGTAACCTGAATCCACTGGTTTGAGTCCTACCTTCCGGAGAAGGAGAAAACAAGCTTGCTCCATCTTCCATGTGACAGCCCTTGAGATATTTGAAGATGGCTATCATATCTCCTCTTATCCAGGCTAAACAAACCCAACTCTTTCAACCTTGTTCTTCATTAGCCTTGGTTTCCAGACCCTTGATCATCTTGCCTGCCCTCTTCCACACAAGTTTGAGCTGCAATATGATACCACTTTAAACATTAATCGCTTCCCCCAAAGAATCCTGGGAACTGTAGCTTGTAAAGGGAGCTGAGAGTGGTTAGGCAACCCCCTATTCCCCTCACAACTCTCAGCACCCTTAAACTATCATTCCCAGGATTCTTTGGTGGAAGCCATGAGAGTTTGAAGTGGTATGATACTGCTTTAAATGTGTAGCACATACGAGGCCATTACCAAACAACAGTTCTCCCAATAACTTGCTACTGCTCATGATATGAAAGTACAGATACTAGGACATGTTAAACTCTGTGGGCACTCACATGTGTGCAAATGTGGGGGGGGGGCATGGGCATAGCCAGGATTTATGTTAGGAGGGGCAGGCTTTTGTTAGGGGGGCAGAACCTCAGTTTTTTATTGATTTAGGGGCAACAACTGCCCCCCCCAGCTACACCCATGGGGGTGGGGGAAGAAGCCACACAGCTAGCTCTGCTAAGAAGTGTTATCTGTTTAAGTTGGTTGGCCTGGATACACAATTAATGCTTATAATAAATTACCTCAGCCAAGTCACGTTATGCCTGAATCATCAGAAAAGAATCACAACAGGAAGAAAAGGTCAATTTGGCTAAAGTTTATGTAAGATCTTCTACCTCCTCTTAAAGGATTACACACTCTGAACACAGAAAGAAAGGTGATAAGAAATCCAAGGACATTAACCACATGATGTCGTCCCCCACCTCATTTGGAATAAAAAGTAGAAGCAGACTTCTTGAAGTGTTCCTAAGCTCCCACTTCTTTTTGGAGGGAGCAGAAACAACTGAATGACAGTCATATCCCTCTGCCCCCTTTATTTCCCATTCTTGGCCTCTACTGGGCTATGAAGACTGGGAAGTAACCTCTCCACAGTTGCCAAACCACCAAGAGGAGAAGATGGCAACCAGGAGTTTGTGGCTTGACCACCAAAGCTAGCCAAAAATTGTGGAAAAACCCCCCCCCCATTTAAAAAAAAGTCTTGCAGCAGCAAAAAGAGCTGAGCACTCCTTTGGACCTTCGTCCTTGTTTTCAGCCAGCATATAGGAATGTGCACAACTGTTAGAAGCAGAGAACACACTATCAAGTAGTTAATCATTTTCCTTCCATCTGCAAATCTTTTGCACCTGGGTCATTTCAGGAAAGGAGATCAATACAAGGCTGTGGTGCAGCCTTTGCCAACCTCCAGACGTTTGGGATGACAACTCCCATGAGCCCCAGGCAGTACGGTGGTGGTCCAAAATATCTTGTTATTTTGGCAAAGGCTGCTGTTTGCATTTTGAGTTGTTCTTGTGCGGGAAAACTTCCTGCATAGCCATTTCCTCCCCCCCCCCCGTCTTATAACACAATATGAAGAGGTCGACGCTATTTAGCAGTCCGAAAGTCCTAACACAGGGATAGCCAACCTAATGCACTCAAGGTTTTGTTGGACAACAATGCCTATCATTCCTGATCAATTGCCATAAAGGCTGGGGCTAATGGGAGTTGGGAGTCCAACAACATCTGGAGGTTGTCTACCCTCACCCTAACGTTTGCTCAGCCTAACTCTCCCTTTTTGCAGAAGTGGGAAATGATTTTCTGCAGGGCTGGGGAATGTGTGAGAATTAAGAAAGCACATGTTTTTTTCTTCTCATCTTATCTGTGGGGGGGGGGGGAACACCCCATTTTTCACTTTCATCTCAACTTAATTATACCATACCCATGACTAAATGTTCGTTTTCTCCTTTCTGTGCAATATGGTGCTGACCCAGTTCTTAGACTGGGACAACTTATCTGATAGCAATGAGGTCAGATTTGAAACGAAGACTAAACTAACCATGCTGTAATGTGGGCACAACTGGTGATAACAGCAACATTATCAGATCCCAGACTTGATCAGAGAACAGCAGCAAAACTAAGCACCTGGCAAATTTTAAATAGAAATCACCAAAAGCCAATCACCTTTGGTTTGAATTCCATTGTCTTTCCTTGATAAAGTACAACAGAATTTCAATCAAACATATGGAATGTTAAACATTGCCAAAAAGAAATTTCACTAAAGTTTGCCTTTTTCCCCTTTTCTTTTTCATATTTTTTTTTAAAAAACCACACATCTGACAAAGCCTCCTGATAAATATTTTATTAAAATAGTATAGGCCATTTTTATTTATTTCACATATGTAGTAACCCGGCCAGTCTCCCATGCATGGTGTTAAACTGTAATAGAATATACAAGTTACAAGAAAGGATATTCAGACTAAACTTTCAACAAAACAATCAGACAGTAAGAGCTGTTCCACAGTGGAACAGACTCCCACGAGAGGTGATGGACTCTCCTTCCTTGGGAGGTTTTTAAGCAAAGATTGGATGGCCATCTGTCATGGATGCTTTAGCTGAGATTCCTGCATTGCAGGAGGTTGGAAGAGATGACCTGTGCTTCCCTTCCAACTCTAGGATTCTATGATAACACACCACAGTGCAACAATATTTGGAATCAACGTTAAAAAATAATAATCACTAAATGAATTTTGAAGTTTTTTTAAAAAGAATATTAAAGTTGGTTTCCTTCATTCTAAACATTACAGTAGTGTTTTCTGCACTGCCTCTGGAGAAGCCTCTCTGGGTGTCATGGAAGAATTGTATTCTTCAGGCACACACTCAGCCCACACAAGGGGCTGGCTAGGCCTGTTGAACCATGGGAGGCAACTGCATGTTACTGAAGGTTCACCCTACAACAAACACCCGGCACTCCCTTTTGATCATAACAACCAAACAGCCCTGCCACATCAGACCAAAAGCCAATCTAGTCCAACACCCTGTTTCCCACAGTAGCCAGAGTCAGGCGCTTGTCTGCGAAGCCATAGACTTCACAGGGAAAGGTTTGAATTTGATAACAAGCTGTGTTTGGGGGGGACGATTGTCTTGTCACCTCTCATCTCAACCAAGCTTCCCTTTCATACAGCTTCAGAACTATACAAATACTAGAAAAGGATACCACTTCACTCATGTTGAAACTCCTGAACGGCAGAACAAAATAATGCTTCTTACACCACTACATGCTACACCCTTGGTTAAGCGATTTACAAGAACAGCCAGTTCAGCCAAGTAATTGACAAATGTCGTCACAAACATACAGCCTTCCAAAGCCAGCCTTATATTTCAGGGTGTGCGCTAACCTCACCGCAACTCAATTTCACACACACCTCCAAGGAGCAGCGATAGCAGAGGGATTCTCGGAGACTGTGTCTATATTAAGTTCTGCACCACTTGCATGTCACAGGACAATTTGTTCCACCGTTAATTAAAAGAAAGATGGGGAACATGTGATCCTCCAAATGTTACTGGATTTCCAGCATGGCTGGAGGTTGTGTTAGGTAGTATGTTTGAATGTTGAATATGTAAGTGTATGACTAGAGCCGTGGTTCCCAACGTGGGGCACGTGCCCCACAGGGGGGCAATTTGGAAGTTTGTTTAGACCAAGTTAATGGCCTTTCTCCATGTGAATAGGAATTCACTTTTTGAATAATAAGAATTATATGTCACGGGATGGGGATCAGGATGCTTAGGTGGGGCATGGCAAAAAAAAAGTTGGGAACCACTGGTCTAGAGACGATGGATAGAACAAACACCGTTAGCTGTACTGCTGGATAAGTATTTAATGGTTATTGTATTTGCATTTGTTTAAAAAACCAATACAATTTTTGGAGTTTTTTTGAAGTGTGGAGAATGGTACTGCTTAACAATAATCATCAAAATTGCCTCACCGAACTGGAATAAAGTCCATCTAGTCTCCCTCAATGACTAGCAAAACCCTGTTGGGAAATTCCCCAGCAGGGACCAGGCACAATGTTAGTAACTATTTTGGTTGTTTGTCTTCAGCAGCCAATAATATGTCTGCACAAAGGGGAGATACCCAGCCTGTAAAAAAAAAGTTCCATTTTGTCATCATGACTGATGGCTTTTGACAAATTTATACAAAACAGGTCACTGGGTGGCTGCTTTGTGGGAAAGTAATTCCTTATGAATTCTCTCAACACAAGGCAGAATTAGTTCCTGCTCTAGTCTTCCCTGAACCTACTGGCAGTTTCACTAGGACACATGGCTTCGACAGTTCAAGCGCACCAACTGCACCAATACAAAGTGTTAAAAATTGTGGGTCTCTTATACATGGATAGTGCACAGGGGGTATGAGCGATTGGTGGCAGCTGCGAGCAGGAGATTTTGAGTGGCAATTGGGCGGGTGACTGATGCCTGTGGCAAGGGCTGCTTGCGATTGGCTGTTCCTGCAGCAATTTGGCGGTCAAGGTGTGCGTTTGGCAGCGGCGGGCGGTTGAGCGTTTTTCGGCAATTCCCCCCCCCCCAAAGCTTTACAACTCTGGGCAATCACCCCCATTTCCTTAATTTGGAGTTCCCCAAAACAGGGGTCTTATACAAGGGAAAATACAGTATACATTACAAGTTCTTCACTGCCTATTATTGGTTCCTGTTTGCAAACAACTTTCAAAAGCAAGCCTGCAGCTAAATATTTACACTTGTGGAATTTTAAATTTATCTCTGTAAACTCTCTTATCACCCATTGCAAAAGGTACGGCGCTGAATACCAAACCAACTCCTCCCCCACTCAGGACTCAACACGACTAGGGTTACAATACCAGAGAAACGTGACTGAGTTCCAGGAAAAGGCATTACCTAAAGTCCTCCCACATCTTAAAATGCAAATAGCATGGCTGGTTGGAAAAGATCTACAACCAACTGCCTCACCCCAAAGCACACAGAGGGGTGTAATCAGAGTTCCTCCAGGGTGCTATTCCACTAAGTTTCACTCAGAGCTCACCAAATGAAATCAATGGACCTCACTTAGAATCATAGAATTGTAATAGCCGTCAACTTTCAGTTTTGAAAATAAGGGATCAGCAGCCTCGAAAATAAGGGATCAGCGTAGATATCTAACAATCCGGGATAGCAGAGGGAAATGGTGCTGGAATAAGGGAATTTCCCGCAAAAAAAAGGGAAGGTTGACAGCTATGAGAATTGTAGAGTTGGAAGGAACCTCGAGGGTCATCTAGTCCAGCATTGCAGGAAGATGCAGGCAGCCTCTATGGGGAACTGAACCCATGACCTTGGAGTTATCAAGCACCACACTCTAGCCATGGTCAGATCACTTCCTGGTGCAACTGGACTTTTAATGTTTAACAGACTATTGCATTTTAATATTCTGTTGGAAGCCGCCCAGAGTGGCTAGGGAAACCCAGCCAGATGGGCGGGGTATTAATAATAATAATAATAATAATAATAGGGAGTTAACTAATTTCAGTGGGGCTCCTCTGAGCAAAACATTATCAAATACTTGTTGCTCAGTTGGACTTATGAGTACAAAACTGTAATGCAAGTGATTGGGGGGGGGGGAGCATATGCATGAGAGCCTCAATCCACGGAAACAAATGAGTTCCAGAACGCTTGAGTAGGATCAGGTTGTGCATACCTACAGAAATCCAATATAACCCCAACAACCTGGGGATGATGCATGGATGTGTGTAGGTTGGGGGTGTGCGCACGTGACCCACATTGGTAGAAACTCCGGCTGTGCATGTTGTCATTATTATTATTACGGATTAAATTTGTGCTCCGCCCTTTGGTGCGTAGATCTCAGGGCGGCGCACAACAGGAAAACCACAAGGTTGTTGCAGCCACCGCAAAAGGCGAAGCGGCTGGCGGGCTTCGGGCAAAAGGAGAGATCACCTCGACCTCCGGCAAAGCAAAGCGACGAATCTTGTGGTCTCGCTGACTCGCCCCCTCCATTCCGCGGCAAGTGCGGTCCCACTGCCGCCCTCGCCCCCCACAACTGGCAACCCAAATTTAAGGGGAGGGGGACGCATAACGCTACTATATATTGCTACATATACGCGCGCGCACCGTTAAGACTTAGGCCCCGGGCATCGACTTCTTACCAAAAACTGGAAGGAGAGGGCGGGTCGTCGTCGCTGCTGCTGCCACCCGCTTTCTCGCGCCCACCCCGCGCTCTGCAAACACAGGAAACCGAAACCCGGTGGTGGCGGGGACGGCGGCAGCGGCTGAGGTTCGTGCGGCCGCGAGAGATATTTATAGGCGAGGAGCGGCAGGGGCGGGGCAAGAGCGTGACGGGCAGGCCTGGAGTCCACTGGCTGGGCGGCGAGGGGGTCGGCCCACATCGGACGGGATGGCGATCCCTATGGAACGGGCGGTGCATGTCGGGAATGGGAGGCCTCCGTCGCCGAGCGGCTCTGGGGGCGGGGCTCCCGCTAAGGGGGAAAGCCGCGCTCGCAATACAAGGCAGTCGGCCGGCCCTGTGAGGCAGGCCGCTCCGGGGTTAGCGGTGCTTAGTGCCTCGTGGGCGTGAGGATAAAAAGGGGGCCGCCTTTGTTGTTGTTATTTGCAGTAATAATGATAATACATCCTAATAATAATGATTTACATCTTATGCCCTGTTAAAATACGTTTTTTTGTGAGGACGGCCCTATTGGGTTGTTTTTGTTTTTATTATGTATTTTGTGGTTTTATATCTTGATTTTATTCTTTGCCTCGCGGGTATAGGACGGTATATAAACTCAACAAATGATCATGATTTCTGAAATCAGTTTATGGGTTTCGCTCACAACACGATCCCTATGTATACATTGAGTTCCATGGGAAACAGGGGGGGGGACTTTTATTTTCACAACAACCCTGTGAAGTAGGTTAGGCTGAGAGGAGGTGACAGGCCCAAGATCACCTGCTGGGCTTCATGGCTGAAGTGAGGATTTGAACTCGGGTCTCCCAGCTTCTCCTCAAACATTTTAATCACCAGTCACACAGGTTGGCACAGCCGGCGCCCTATCATTAGACAAGAGTGTGGAGGCTGTTCTCAGGCAACTGGTTTTTTTAGGGAGGGTAGGATTTTGTCTCTCAGCTTGGCTGGCCTTCGGTATTATTATGTACCTTGATTTGAAGGTGAGGGGCCAGTTTGCTGTTCTGCCCCAGAGAACAAAATGTCTTTGGACAGGTCTAGAGGTCATGTGGCTCCACTACACAAAATACTTCGAAAACATTTGAGAAGTTTCAGTGACCTCTGCTGGATGAAAACTGAAATTCCATTTGCTGGAGAAGGAAGTTTCAGTTCAAAACATATTTTTAATTTTTAATCTCTCTTTCGCTCTTACGCCAACTTTTCTTCCCAGCTTTACTAACCATGGCAATCTCTTTTTGTTTTAGCAACCCTGAACAATTTAGTGTCATCAACATGAATAACTTGGGACCATTCATTTCAATGGGGCTACTCTAAGTAGAACTTAGTCAGATACTACCCAAAAGCATCACTAGCTCAGATGCTACTTCACTTTCACTACAAGCTTATGATATTGTTATGAGTTTGTAGGTACTAGACATTCCTAGTACTCCTGGCTCTAGAATTTAATTAAAGCTTGATGTTAAGAATAGGTGCCAGACTCCTGTGTATTAAGCTGTGTGCAATACATTTTTAATCCCCTGGAATTAAAAAGATAATTAAGGATTAAAAAGCCAATGAAATTAGGATAAGCTTCATTGTGAGATAATAGTTTATGGAACGAGCCCTTAAGAGGACAACACATCAAAGAGACTGTGTGAGATAGCAAATGGCTGAGGCCTTTCCCTCAACTCAGAGTTAGACAATAAAGCCAGATTTTAGAGAGGTTTAGAGTGAGAAGCAATGTGAGTTAGGGATTATGTGACTGGGATGCAAAGCAGCAAGCAGCATGATGTCTGTTTGAATCCAGGATTGCAGCTATGGGAGAAGCAAGACTAGGCATAGGCAAACTCGGCTCGCCAGATGTTTTGGGACTACAACTCCCATCATCCCTAGCCAACAGGACCAGTGGTCGGGGTTGATGGGGGTTGTAGTCCCAAAACATCTGGAGGGCTGAGTTTGCCTATGCCTGAGCAAGACCCTCTTGGGATGTTAATCCTTGAACTCCTCCATCGTAGGCTCAGGTTGTATATATGTGTAAATAAACCATATATCATAAAAACAACACAGCCTCCTCTGTGCCTCATTTCCAAAAGGAAACACAAACCCTGGGTAAGTTTGCTTAGAACCCCTGGAATCTCACACCATTCAGAGACTGGGCTGGCATGCAACAGTGTTTTGCAAGCCACACTGAGCACTCTGCAATGGAATGAAAATCCCAAAATACATGTATACACAATGGGACAGCAGCGGGTGCGTATCTTGTGTTCATGGACACACTTCACCAGAATCAAATGGGCTGGGGTGTAACACTGGACAGCAGACAGGCTATCTGATCATTATTCCTACCCATGCCCAGCCAATATAGTACTATAACCCAACCTGATATTGTACTATAACCAATGAAGTTGTGGCCTGTTTTGTACCCATAACTAAGACCTACATCTGCACCATACATTTAAAGCACTATTATACAACTTTGAACAGTTTCCCCCAAAGACTCCTGGGAACTGTGGTTTGTGGAGGATCCTGAGATTTGTTGTAAAGACTCCTATTCCCTTCCCAAAACTACATTTGACAGAGTAGCTTGTCAGACTTGCTTCCCAGGGAACCCTGAGAATTTTATCTATGAGGATTCAAGAAAAAGGGCCATGCAGCTCATAGTTAAACTCTGGAATTCGCTACCACAACATGTAGTAATTTTCATCAACTTTTAAAGCTTTAAAGGAGAATTAGGAAACCTCATGGGTGGAGGGAAGTACTGGGCTGTGGGGGAGGGAGGTGAAGGGATTAATTGAAATTGTTAAAGACTGGTATAGGATTTAAGAGATTTAAATTTTTATATTCTATAAGGAAAGCAGAAAGCAGAAAGAAATATCAAGTAAAGGTATCGGAGAGAAGATCAGTGTAAATGAAAACATGAGACTTACGGTTTTGTTACATATGATTTTATTTTGGAGTTGTCTGTTTATTTTGGACTTGTTTGTTGTAAAGAATGTATATTATGTGAATAAAATAATAAAGGATTTGGAAGTGCTGGGGGGGGGGGAAGAAACCTCATGGAAGATGAGACTATTAAATACTACTTGTCATACTTGTTCCCATATAATGAAAACATCATCAATATAGTGTTACCACACCTAAAGTAATTGCAAAAATGGATTGCAAGAAACAAAAATACATTTAATATCAATGTCCTCTGTAGAGATTAATTTTCTAAGATAACAATGTGTGATCTCAGCCTCAGTCCAATTAAAACATGATGGCATCATCATCTGATCACCATCCACATAAGAAGCAGAGAATGACACTTTTGTAGCTATCTGCTAGAATTTCACATGTGCAAACACCTGGTGCACAATAAAGGCTTTCCCTTCAGTTACTTCTGAGTAGTAGAGATCATTCCAGGGGTCAGGGATGATGGGAACTCTAGTCCAAAAACAGTAGGAGACCCAAGTTTGGGGAAACCCTGATCTGGAAAGTCTTGAGCAACTGGAGAAAAGGCAGAAGCTCAAATCATTGGAAGCAGGAGTGGGAAACCCCTTCAGCTATCAGGATCATTCCCCCATCTAAAGAACTGGGCGGATTTCCCTCTCCTCAAGGCACTCGCAAGGCAAAGTGGGAAAAAGCAAAGAAACTTCGGCTACGTTTCAACTCCGCGGGTTACTCTATGCGTGTCCCTATCTCTAGACACTTCGAACGCCGCCTTTCTACGTAACGGGGGCGCGGCCATCGCGGACGTGCGTGCTCGCGTCACTTCCGCACGGGGTCAGCCGCCTTGCGAAGGGTTCGCCGACGTGGGGCTGACGCCGCTGGGTCCTCGTGCCTGCTGGTTAGTGGCCACGTCTCCCGGAAGATGGATCCGGGGAGCCCTGGCTAGACTGCGGCCTGGGCAGGAGCTGCTGCCGCTGTCGGCTTCTGTCCCGCCTCGCTCCTTTCCTCGGCGTCGAAGGCCCAGCGTGGGCTCCTCGGCTTCGGAGACCTGGGTAGGAGCCGGCATGGAGTGAGGCCGCGAGGGTAAGCAGAGGCCTACCTGGGAGCGGGGTTTGGACCCCTGATAGTAACAGTAGCAATAACAATAACAACAGTAGCAACAATAATGGTAATAATAATTGCAATTAAGTTGTAATTTTGCTGTGTCTTGTGGAGCGGCTAGTACCGCGCGATTGCGACTTTATTTGTTGTTTATGATTACACCGGCGGTTGATAGTCTTCATTTTCGCCCAAGGTCTCTCACACGCTTCTCCCCGCTCTCCCATTTCATCCCCACAACGGCCCGGCGAGGTAGGTTAGGCTGAGAGGCTGGAAATCAACCCGTGGGCCTAATGGTTGAGTGGGGATTTGAATCCTGGTCTTCCAGGTCTTAGCCCGACATCATCATCATCATTATTACTATTACTACTACTACTATTATTAATTTCTTTAAGCCCCATTATTATTGTTATTATTCATTTATTTAAAGCCCACCTTTCCCTCTGAAGGCTTTAATCACTATTTTGCACTGGCTCTTCTCTCTCTCCCGCCAATAATTATTGTTGGCGGGAGAGAGAGGAGAGCCATTGTAAAATAATAATAATAATAATTTAATTTATATCCCGCCCATCTTGCTGGGTTTGCCCAGCCACTGTGGGCAGCTTGCAGCATATATAAAAACACAACAAAGCATCAAACATTAAAAAACAAAAGATCCTATACAATCAACAAACCAACCAACCAATAAATCAATAGAAACCAATGATAACAACAATAACAATAATAAAAATATTAAACAGTTTACAGTTATACCCAAATTAAAATAACCGCCAACCCCAACTAAACATTTACCCAACATCAACCGGACAAAAACAAAACAGAGGAACCAAAATTAGAACCGTTTAAAACATTTTAGTCAGTTGCCCCAACTCAAGAGTTGTTCCAGCAATGTTCTTCTGGCCTCTCAGGAGCCTCTTTTAGAAAGGACACAGTGGCTTCAAATCAGTGTGAAGGTAAGTAGCCTGTTAAATGTGAACTAAGTTGAGATTTAGCAGGTGAATTCCGCCTGTAGAGAACTGCAGCAGAGAGATTCTGCCCTCCAAAAAAGATTATTGTTGTTCAGCTGGAAAAGGCACAGGAGCCTGGCCACACAAAATTTTTAAAAAGGTGACAACCCTGCCGTGGTGGAATTACTGCCATTGTAGAACTGTTCTTTGTTAAAGAGGTGAGGTGGTTTGCATAGAGAGGAATGTGCGGGTCAAATATAGAAAGAAATAGGAGGTAGGAAGAAGAGGGTTGGGAGCATTGTGGAATTTACTGGCTGCAGTGAGGGCATGGGGCAGAAATTAAGTCTGAGGTAATATCTCTGGGAAAAGATGGAGCCTTTGGCAGAGCAGGATCCGATGAGCAAGATTAAAATTTAAAAGGCAAACAAATAGAATAGGAGAAAAGGAGTATTATTGACTGACTGACTGACTGACTGACTGACTGGAGCAAATAACAATGCACGTCTCAGTATTTATGCCAACCCCTGGCCCCACCCACATGTTGTTTTTATTTTTGAAGCATGTTCCTCATGTGCACTAGAAGAAACACCCACACAATTTAATCTACATAGCAGGCAAGGGTTTGCCAAGGTTGTGGCTTTCTAAAAACAAAACAACAACAGAAAAACTGGTTGTAGAGTGCTATATATTTAGAGATAACTTGGCTGTGGTTTTTCTTTCTTTCCACAAAATGTGTTGTTTTTCCTCCAGATTTGCAGTAGCAACCATCCCCAGGCCTGGAATACATTTATGTAAAACATGAGTGGAGCAATCACTGGCTGGCAGCTGTTTTCATGATGGTAGAGGTTTAAAAATCTGCTGCCATGATCCAAGGATTTGGTGTTGCCTGCCTGTTTCTGTGATTGTTTTCGCACATTTGCTTCCTTGGATGAACGTCATAGCAAGGGGGAGACTAACCTGGCCCCATCCATTGGGTAGAGGAGCAGCAGTACTTCCCCACACTCTATTATTATTATTATTATTATTATTATTATTATTAAACCACTCTTCTGTGACATTCTAAACTTTGCTTGCTTCCCTCTTTGTTCTCCATCCTTTTCCCTTTTGTATCATATTTATTGGATTGTGAACCCGCCGACAGGGGATCTCTTATGTTTTAATAGCTGTATAACACTTAGAAAGTTTTAGGTTCTTTAAAAGTGTTTCCTAGAGAAATGTAACATTTTTATTGAGGCCAGAATTGCTCATATAAAGAATAAATTATTGTGTGGATGGATCCTAGATGATGTGTGGTAGCTCAACCAAACAAACTTATTAATATTTTTGACTGATCTTTATACGTATTTCTGGTCACATTTTCCAGCAGTGGGGTAGATGAACTTGTCATATATAAATACTTAAACCAGTACTGTTTTGTAGCCTCCTTCCTTGGAGAAAACTGTTTGGCATTTGAACTGATGTAATACAGAATTCTACTTGGATTTATTGTAAATAAAAAGGCTGATATGTCCAAATTTGTCTCTGGCACAGCTTCCATTGATTTCAGCATGACTTGTACAGAAGAGCTTCACAGTGAATTTTGTCTTGTTGTGTAAACCTGTCTGCCATTTGTCTGCTTTTAATAATTCTCAAAATCCATATATATACCTGCAAGCACCAAATGTTATGTCATTGCATCCAGTACACATGTTTACAGCCAGATCTTCCATAATCTCATAGAAAGTAGTGATTTGTGGAGCAAAAGGAATGCATGGCTGAGCCAAGATGTATCTTTCTTCATTGCATAGCTTATGTCCCCATAGTCCAACTCCACCAGAACAGTCAAGGTCACAAAATTGTAGAGTTGGAAGGGGCCATGTGGATCTTCTAGTCCAACCCCTGCAAAGCAGGATTTTTTTTTGCCCAGTGTGGAACTTGAACCCACAACCCTGAAATTAATAAGAGTCTCATGCTCTGCCAACTAAGCTATACTTCTTCCCCACTCATCCCTTTTGCTCACTGAATAGGACATTCTTTCTTTCTGTGTGATTGAGTTAGATCTGTGTTGAAACCCATGGATTTTCTCCCACAGCCTATGTCCTGTAGGGCTGCCTCTAAAATTACTGCTGAGTGAAATGGAGATGCTGTCCAGGCATTGCCCTTCTGCCTGACACTTTCATTGAGGATATAATTTTAAAGAGTAAGAGAAATGTTAACTTGGTGATTTGTTGGGTTCCAGCTCCGGTTTATGTGGTGATGGAACAACTTCCTCCACCAAGCTCTACAAAATTGACTCTGTGTGGCAACCTGAAGGAAATACCAGCTGAATGCTTTAGTTAAAAATAATAATAACCTATGTGTGATCTAAAAATCCCATTGTTTGACTCTTTTCTTCTCCCACCAGGGCGGATATTGGATCTTCAAATTCCATATATTTTTTTAACTTTCATTATGTCTTGGTTTGCTGACTTGGCTGGAAAGGCAGAGGACCTTCTCAACAAGGTGGATCAAGGTGCTGCATCTGCTTTGAGCAAGAAAGAGTGTTCTGGCAATGCAAATTACAGCAATAGCACTTTGAATGATGTCAGCGAGTTCCCCAAAGTGCACCAACAGACCCGGGATCAGCAGTATCCAGCATCATCTAAGTCTGGCTTTGTCTCCTCGGCAGCAGATAATATTAAACATCAAAAGGCAACAATCCTGGCAGGAACCGCCAATGTTAAAGCATCGTCCAGGATATCCATGGAATCTTCCCCTTCTACAGAGGCAGCATCCATGCCCAGACCGTCTTCCCAGTTTGTGAGAAGGAAAAAGTCTGAACCCAACGACGAACTCCTGTTTGACTTTCTCAATAGCTCTGAAAAGGAACCAAATGGGAAAATGGACCTTAAGCGAGAGAAGAGCAGAGCAGCTGCTTCTCAAAATCACTCTCGGACTTCAAGCATCAGCTCTGTGTCGGCAAGTTCGCAGAGTGTCAAAACCGGTGAAGACGCTTCCGTTCGGAGTCAAGGCAATGGTAGTTAAGCATAACTACATAGGTTAAGGAATATGTTAAAGTGTGGTAGTGGTGAGAGGATTCTGGGCCTTTATTATGATGATTACATGGTGCAAATTCTGATTTCTGTGTTATTAAAGGATTTTATTTTAGGATTTTTCTGCTTGCCACTTTGGAGGGGGGAACCCCCTCAAGGTGGTTTCACAATTAAATTAGTAAAACAAATTAAAAAGATACAGTTCAGCTCATCAAAACAACTTAAAATAACTTTTCTACAAGCCATCGATAAAACAGTAGCAGCAGTTAAAACTCTGGATTGGAAATACAGACCAGCATCATTATTCAATAAAAAGGGGTTTTCAACAGTCAGACTCTTTTAAAAACAATAGGTGAGGAAGCCAAACAAACATCCCAGAGGGAAAAGTTTTACTGTGATGGGGCCACCACTGAAAAGGCCCTGTCTCTTGTGTCTTCTAGCCTGTTAGATCTTACCATTGACCCATGTGAGTGGCAGAACCCACAGAGTTTTCCTCTGCAAGCTTTATTGTAGTGAACAGGAGCTGTTCCTTTGTGTGCTTCCCATTCATTTCATTATACTGGAGATCTTACTGGGAATTTGCACCCTGTGGGCCTGTTTCTCATTTTAATTCTGAGATCACCACCTCCCTTTTCCTCTTGGTAGGCCCAGCCTTCACCATGCATAAGTGTGCACAAATATTCTGCATGCAGTTTTGCACTTTCATTTGGCTTTCATTTTCTCTCCCATGTTGCATTTCCTACCATGCAGAGAGCTGAATGCAGGAATCGGGATACCACGTTCTGGCTTTTGCCTAGCCTTTGTTTACTGTGCCAGTGAAAATTAGGTTAGGTTTTGGGCTTTATTTTGGTTCGCACATTAGAAAAAATTAGATGGGGCATCCTGTTTCACACATGTCTCCTGCATGGCGGGGAACATCATTTTGGATTTTAAAAAGATGCCAGTGTGCTCCCACGAAGCCATACTGAACAGTCGGTCAGGCTGGTGGGATAATGAAAATGGTCAATTTTGATGCACATAGTGATCATCAACCTACACCAGTCCTATGCAACTTTTGGCCCACTGAGTCTTGCACATTCCACCAACAGGGCACAATTATTAGGACAGGGCCATCGAAAACAGCTCCACTCTCCTCAGGTGACTGGAATTGTGTGGGGCTTGAACACCCAAACAGGGCTATGGAGTAAGGTGGTATCTTTGTATATGTGGCAGTAATGTAGACATTTTAAAAGAATAAATATCTGGTGTGTCTGACTGCTATGGCAGATAATTGTATTTCATTAGGCTACCTGGGAGTCAGTACATAGGAGCCTCTGTGAGGCTTGTTTCTGAGCAGACAGGCATGGGATTACGCTGTTCTGTTCATCGTAGAAAGTAGGTCTGCAAGGAGATGTGCTTGCTTTAAATGTGCCTCTCTGTACAGATACTCTGGATAGTTCCAGTTCTGGACTGGAGACTGATGTGGATGTTAAAAAAGACCCATTGCCAACTGCAGAAGCAAACCCCAGCCTCGCACCTAATGATGGGAAATCGCACGAGTTGTCCAATCTTCGCCTTGAGAATCAACTTCTGCGGAATGAAGTGCAATCTTTAAATCAAGAAATGGCATCATTAATTCAGCGAGCCAAAGAAACGCAAACAGGTAGAGGATTTATAGCTTTGACATTTCAAGCTATTGGCACCTTTGGAAATAATTGAGGGTAATACAGCAAATGTTTGGGAATGGTACTAAGATAATTTATGTAAAGCCCTCTGAATACTTGAAACATGCTTTAAAAATTCCAAGTATTATTGATATGGGGTTGGATCCAGAGTTCCCATTGGAGGAAATAGCAGGGACATATTATAGTCCCTCCTGAATGTCTTTGCTGGATTCTCCACACCAGTGAGAACCTTGTTTTGTATTTTTACAAGTGTCTTCAGTCCTTAAGTCTTTTTTTTTACACATTTCTATTGTTTTGCTTAAAAACATTATTTATTTCAGGTAGTTATAGGCCCCATTTCCTAACTGTACTTAAGAAATTGGTAACCCTGGGTTTTGTCCAGGCTTCACCCTCCACAAACAGAAGGGCTACTTCTGTCCAAGGATGGCTTTTGATCCAGTGTGGTGCAAGAAGCAGGGCAGTTGGGGGAGGCCGCGTTTGCCCCCAGCGCCACCCACTCCACTGTTTCAAAGGGTTCCCCAGTCTTCTATAGCAGATTTTAGAAGAAGCTTGAAGGAATGCTCTTCTAAATGGGAGCTGACAAAAGCATCCTCCCTCTTTTTGTCGGTGGGAGCAGTCTGGATACAAGTCGGTGGTATCCAAGAAACGTGTCCTGTTAGTGCAGGGATTTCCACTGGTGCAAGGCAGCTTCCCCTCTCCTTTCTCCACACCCTCCCCAGATCTGCTCTGGGGGTCTAGAGAAGGTTCAGAACAGATGAAGGAGGAGGAGTGGGGGAGTTCCGTTGCACAAGTGGAAATCCTTCTGCTGAAGAGGCATGTTGATTTGAAACTGCCCAGTATATCTGAATTGGGACAATGTGGTCAAACACTGCTTATTTACTTTCATATTTAGTATTCTAATTTCTAATCACTGGCAAAATCATGCTACACAAACTAACGATACAAACAACCTTGTCAATCACATTGATGTCTGCTGACTTAAACTTTTGCAGAATTAAACAGTGCCCGAGCAAGAGTTGAAAAGTGGAATGTTGACCATTCAAACAATGACAGGCTCGTTCGGGAACTTCAGGCTCAAGTGGATGATCTGACAGAAGCCGTTGCCGCCAAGGATTCCCAGCTGGCTGTCCTGAAAGTGAGGTTACAGGAAGCCGATCAGCTTCTCAATTCACGTACTAAAGCACTGGAAACAGTGCAGAGTGAAAAATCACGGTACTAATCTATTCCTCTTGCCTTATTATTTTTTTTAACTAGAGCAGGGTTTCCCAAACTTGGGTCTCCAGCTGTTGGACTACAGCTCCCATCATTCCTCCTAGCCTGCAGGACCAGTGGTCAGGGATGATGGGAATTGTAGTCCAAAAACAGCTGGAGACCCAAGTTTGAGAAACCCAGAATTAGAGAAATCAAGGTCTTTAGGCTTGTTGTCTGTTAATGTATCCCTTTTGCTTATAACATGATTTTTGTATCTCTCAATATCTGATCGTTGGCTTTATCCTCAAAGGCATCAGTCGGATTGCTTCAGCTGTACTTCTTCTGTCCATAAAGGAGAATGCTCATTATATGCTGTGCTGAGGGCCTGATTCAGCTGATACATTTAGTGCTGTCGAAGCTGCTGCCACAACTACTACATTTGCTTCCATGTGGTTTGGCCAGCTTGCATGATTTTGAAACCTAATCTGTGACATCTGCAGGTGTGGTTTCGAACCATAGAATCTGCCCAAATACTCTCTGTGGAGATCTTACTCATGTCCCTTGTGATGTGGGAGCCACCCCAGAACTGTGGCTCATTTAAATAGGGCCTAATTTTCACTGGAATGTGCAACTCCTCTCTGGAGGTGGAGAATGGGCGGCTCCTGAAAGCCCATTGGCTGAAAGGCATCAATCCAGGCTCTTTCAGGGTTTCTAAGGGGGTGATGTGAGCTCATTGCACCTCTTGTTTTTCTCAATAACAGCAGCATCATTTAGTGTTGCAAGCTGCTTCTTAAGCTCCCTGAGGTATTAAGGCCCAGCTCATTATGTAGTACCAGTGACTATTACTTAGAAAACAGAACAGATGGGAAATCTGTTTGCATTCTCTGCATTGGGAAGTGTTCAGTTTTAAGGTGGCTCTTCCTTCATTCGGTTTGTAGAAACTGGGCTGAATTCAGACAAATTCTTAGAGGTTAAGGCTCTCAGTCATTACTAGTGATGGTGGCAATACGTTACCTCTAGTGTTTGAGGTGCCATGCACTGGAGTACTTCTTGTGAGGGAACAACAGCAGGAGAGAGCTGTTGTCTTGCGTGTGGGCTTCACAGGTGCATCTGGTTGATTCTCAAGGGAGACCAGAGATTTTTAATCTGATCCTGCAGGAGTCTGGTAAAGTTGAATTTTTCTTCTCTAGAAAAATGAAAGGAAGCAAAGAACCCAAATACAGTCACTGTCCTTGTCAAATAACTAATTTTCCTTTGAACAGGCAAACAAACTTGAAAATGTAGTTGGTACAGTAGTACCTCAGGTTAAGTACTTAATTTGTTCCGGAGGTCCGTACTTAACCTGAAACTGTTCTTAACCTGAAGCCCCACTTTAGCTAATGGGGCCTCCTGCTGCTGCCGCACCGCCAGAGCACGATTTCTGTTCTCACCCTGAAGCAAAGTTCTTAACCTGAAGCACTATTTCTGGGTTAGCGGAGTCTGTAACCTGAAGCGTATGTAACCTGAAGCGTATGTAACCCGAGGTACCACTGTAGTTTGTTTGTCTTGAGATTAATTTTCCCTTTATAAACTTTGAAAAAACACAGAGCGGGAAAGTATGCAATATAACATTTGGCTCGGTGTCTTCTTTTGTTTTTAATTGAGACTTCTTTTTTGTGAAAGCTAGGCACTAAACTAGAAGAATACTGTGGAGGAAAGAATAGAACGAGAGGAAGGAACCACTGGCCTGCAGGCCAAGTTTGGCCCAGCTCAGGTCCCGATTTGTTCAGTGAGGCTTTCCCCCTAAACTGCATCCACCTGCTTTCAGATGTGACGTCAGATGTGGGGCAGGCAGAGATGCGGCTGGATCATTGTGAAAAATAGGATAATGCAGCATGGTTCATGTCACTGCCCATCAGCTGATGTCTGTTGACTCTAAGCCTGCTAGACCTGCTGTGCAACAGGCTTCTCTTCAGAAAGCAGCTTTGCCCGCCATGTGCTCAGCATTGGCAAGCATAAGGCGGGCAGAGTCCCTTCCACAGTGGTTCCTAAGTGCTTGCGCAAGGGCCTCCCATGGGTGGGTAGGATAACCCACCAGTCAATTGTCTGGCACCATAATGGCATCATGTCATTGGCAGGTGAGTTGTCACACCCACATGTCAAAGTTGGCCTGCTGGATCGGGGACAGATAAGGATCTAGTCCACAACACACATAAAAAGGTCCCCCACTCCCAAAGTAGAATTTTACAGTACTGTGGAAAAGATGGCATTACTATGGATTGTGTCTTGATATTCTTTACATCTTGTTTCACTAAACCTTTGCTGTCTTCCTCTCCAGAATAATACAGGATAACAGTGAAGGGAACAGCCTGCACAATCAAGCTCTCCAGACTCTTCAAGAGAGATTACATGATGCAGAGTCTTCGCTCAGACGGGAGCAGGAAGGCTACAAACAAATGCAGGTTAGAACAGCAACCTTGGAAGCTTCAGTGACAGAGGAACTGCAGTTGACAGAATGCAATAAAGTGCCTTCAAATCTTGACAATGCTTCTCCTCCCTAAGCACCCCTCATGCAGAGTCTGCCCATTTGTCCACCTGGCTCAGTATCGTTTACACTGACCGGCAGCAGATGTCCTGGCTTTCAGACAGGAGTCCATCTCAGCCCTACTTGTATATAGATTTTATCTCTTAATTATGGATGGTTTGTGTAATAGGTTTTTATTATTTGTAAACTGCTTGGGAGCCTATTTTGTTACTAAGAGTTATATAGACTTAATAAGAAACAATAATAAATAATGCCTTGCAACTCCAGGGATTGTACCTGGGACCTTTCTGTGTGCTGCCACTGAGCTACAGCTTTTGCATGTGTACATTATAGTTTTAATTAGTCGCTATGGACTAGGATCACCTTTCTTTCTTTCTTTCTTTCTTTCTTTCTTTCTTTCTTTCTTTCTTTCTCACACCCTCCAGAGCCAATTTTCAGTCCGCAGGGGAGAGCTGTGGGGGAAAGGGGTAGAATCAATTCCACCAACAATGTCCCTTCCAGTTTTCTCATTTTTTCTCTGCGTCTCTTTTTATTGTTTTTGAAGTTGTGATAAACATTAACCTTTCCTTCGCAGAATGAGTATGTGGCTCGTCTCAGTAAGTTGGAAGCTGAGCGTCAGAACTTGGCTGAAGCAGTTATTGCAGCAGAGAGGAAATCTGCAGAGGAGAAGCGGAGGGCGGATGAATTTCAGCAACAAGTCAAAATGGCCAAGAGCGGCTTGGAGTCTGCTAGGCAAGAACTGGTAGACTACAAACAAAAGGCTACACGCATACTCCAGGTGAAGCAAATTTATTGGATCAAAATTCACACCTCCCCTCCTTTTTTTCTCTTTAAAAATTAAAATTAAAATGTTCATACGAAGTAACCCAGGCCTTATCCACAAATAGACGTATGCAGTTATGTTTTACTGATAGCTGGGGCTGCTAGGGAGAATCTTCAGATATTATTATTATTTACTTATGTACTTATGTACTTACATACTTACGTACTTACTCACTCACTCCACCTTTTCCCCTGATGGGATTCAAGGTATCTTACAGATAAACTTAAGAGCTGCTAAAAACCTAAATAAACATTGACAAAAATTGAACAATATACATATAGAAAATCCCAATACCAATACCAATAATTACAATAAAACCAGCATGGCAGCACCCCTTTCATCGAAAGCAGTTGTTTCGCAGCTATGGGGTTGGTTGGCAGGAACACATAGCTAGTTACAGAGTTAGTATCCCTCCAAGTAACAGCTGCTGAGGATGAACCACAGGGAGCTGCCATCACCTTCAAGTCCTGCTGTTGCCAGATTCAAAGTGAGCCCTTCTGGGGTAGTAAATGTAAAGTATTATTTTTTAAAGTGTGTGCAATCAAGCATAGACTCTGGTGATTACTTTGCAATTTCATTAACATTACTTCTATATGTTAGGTTGTTTTATGCATGGCTGTAATGTTCATTTTTGTAAAAAAAATTAAAAATTAAGTAGCTAATATAAATGAGTAAAATTACGTCTTAAATCTCAGTCGAAAGAGAAGTTGATAAACAGCCTGAAAGAAGGGTCTGGCATTGAAGGTCTGGATAGCCAAACCACAAGCATCATGGAGTTGGAGGAACTAAGGCACGAGAATGATATGCAAAGGGAGGAATTGCAAAAACTGCGGGGGCAGATACAGCAACTGAGGACAGAACTGCAGGTATTGTAACATCCGTAGCTGCTGCTGCTGCTGCTTCCTCCTCCTCCTCCTCCTCTTCTTTTTCTTCTTCTTCCTTACTACATAAAATATCTCAAACCAATTTACATTTTTGAAAAAAGAGTTTAAAACAAACACTGAAAAGAATAAAATGATGGCATATACCAGAAGTGCTCATCCTGCAGTAAAGGACAAAACCCAACTCACCTACTAAAAAATGGAACACCACTACAGGCTAGCATGTTGTCATTACTATTTGATCCCAGTTAAGAACCAAATGCCTGGGGAAAGGTCTTAGCATATTTTCCTGTTGCCTAAAAGTTGGTAGTGATGGCGCCAGGCGCACTTCTCTGTAGGTAGCCGGGGTAGCATCAAGGAACAGACCTGTTCTGCTTTGCACGGGGTCAGAAATGCAGGGTCCAGGTTGGTTAATGTGGTACAAGAATCATGAGCAGAGGAAACTGCCTTGCACCAAATCTTGGCTGTTAGTCTGTCTAGTTTAGTATCGTCTACACTGAGTGCCAGTGACTCTCCAGGGATTTGGGCAGGCCTCTTTGCCAACACTGGCCTAAAGATGCCAGAAGTTTAATTTTTTTTTTATTGACTGAATAGGGCTTGGAGAAGAGAAAGAGAACTGCCGTGGGGCTCCATTGAGAGGAAAGGCAGGATATAAATTTAATTTAACAACAATGAGAATGGCTGGGGTGTTGCTTTTGAAGCAGAATGTGCCCGATTCAAATCTTCTGTCGGCCTTAAAGCTTGCAAAGTGACCCATGAGCCAAGCCCCCTCAGTCTAACTTAACTCACAAGGTGGTTATGTGAGGATAAAATAGGATAAGCATACAAAGGAAGGAAAGTGTTAATTAAACAAATGTGAGAAATAAAATTCATCTGCACTGCTCCAGTGCTATCTTCTTGTTCATTAAATTAAACCAACCCTATCTTTGGCCCAATGCTCCAAGGTGGCTGCACCCGTTGGCTACAGGTGCTTCTATTTGAGATCTTGCGGGGAGGCAGGGCAGGATGCATAGAGAAAGAGAGCGTGAGAGAATGAGTGAGTGTGTGTGTGTGTTCATCTGCCACCTTTCCCTAGGATACAGGACTGAGCGCCTCCAGCTACTGGCAGGGAGATTTGAAGCATTGGCCATAGATTAAATACATAGATTAAAAGACAGAAGTTCAGAATACACAGAGCAGTAGAGCTGGAAGAGACTTCAAATGACATCTGGTCCACCCCACTGTCAGTGAAGGAAATCCATTACAGTATTGCAGCACTCTGATTAGCGGCTATCTAGCTTCTGCTCAATCTCTTAGGCAAGAAGCTGGCCTTTTCAGTACTCTAACGAAGCACCACCAGCACATCACTCAGGAGACTGCATGTGCAGTTAGCCACACTTCTCTGGAGTTGCTCCCAGTGGGACTGCCTTGGCACACAAGCCAATTTCTGAGGAGGGAAAGTGTTGTGTGTTGCAAGGACCACCCTGCAGTTATCACACGCAACCAGTTGTGGCTGGTGAGGTGATGCTCCCAGTTTCCCAGCACAGGAAGTTTACTAAGAGGGGTCTTGTGAGAAGCTTGGCTCAGTGTGTTATGAAGATAGGGCCACTTGCTCCTGCTCATAAGAGTTGCCATTTATGAAATTGCATACATAAGTAACATTTCCTTATAATGCAGGATATGGAAACCCAGCAGATAAACGAAGCCGAGTCCACAAGAGAACAGATTCAAGAGTTGCAGGATCAAATTGCAACACAAAAAGCATCCAGGCAAGAAGTGGAAGCTGAACTAGAGAGACAAAAACAGGTAAGTGTTGGAGAGAGGTTATCGTTTCGCCATACTTAAATATTTCCTGCCACCCAGAACTTGGAAAAACTATTTTGGCTGGTGAACTACATGTCTTTCTGAGGGAATTGAGGAGGTGTGATTAACAGGTGCTTATTGAGCCTACTGAATGAGGTCTATGGAGCAGGACAGGATTATAAATTTTTATTAAACAGACTTTTAAAATTGAAAATCTTCTAGAATTGCAAGGATTTGAGCCTCTCAGATGTAGGTGGTCATCAAACTCCCTGAGCCCATAAAGACCCCAGCTACCAAACCAAAATCTAGACAAGACGAAGAAGTGCTGTTGGTTTGGGTTAGGTTCTTGGAATCTCGGAGTAAGTGTTCAGCCATTTTGAATGGTGTTGCATTCTCCCCTCAAAATCAAATTAAACCACCGGGGAGTGTTCCTAGATCCAGTCTTACTTCCGGAAGGTCAGGGAGGTTGTTGGCTGTGAGTGCCCTTTCCTTGGGAAGCCACAATCTGGCCAGAGTCATTCATGTCCGGGTCACTTCCACTTTGGATTACTGCAATGTGCTGCCTTTGAAGACTGTTTGGAGCTTCCGTTTGTTTTGCACATATGAAAGTATATTTTGCACATTTGCACTAGTTGCCTGTTCACATCAGAGTGTTCGGTTTGATCTTTAAAAGCCCTAATCTTGGTAGAAATCCAACTGCTTCTATAAAGAGCCAGCGCAGTAGATAAATACTGTTGTGAATGCTACTAAATGATACACTGCACTGGTCCTGTGCTTACCACCACAGCTATGGTGTTCATACATTAATGGAAATCATGATGTGCTTTTGTACATAATTTTGATGTTATGAACCCTTGACGAGGTCAATGAAGAGCCCTCAAAAAAAGTCGTAATCTAACCTGATTCAAAAGGTCCTGTCAATGCTCACTTGGAAACAGATCGGTTTCCCTGTATCATGAATCTTTCTCGTTTGTTTTTTGTTTTCATCATGTGTATTGTGAGATGAAGACAAAGTCATGGGGAGTGAAAAAGGTTTAATTTGCTTTACCTGGTTGGAACTCTCCATCTTGCAGGATTACTTGTCCTTCCAGAAATTCCATATTAACTAGAGAGTGGCAGGCTGAACTAATGAAAAGGCAAAAGATCTACGTTTGCTCTCGGAAGGCGGCTGCATAATGTTTATTATTATAGTATTATGAAGCCATATGGTGTGCCCTGTTGCAGTTTGATGGACATTCCGTTTTTAGTCTGTGCTTTGGCTCTGAGGTGGAAACTCTTAAATGTACCCTGGCTCATCCATTTGAATGGGCTTGTTTTAGCACGAGTGTTAGGTGTAATTCGCTTCAGCCTTCTTGCTTGTTATTTCCAAGCAATACTTGGGTTAAATAGTTTGAAAATGAGGATGAAATCTGACAACAATGTAGTCCTGCTTTATAGTCATTAAAGAGCACTTACTACTGTACATGTCAGGTAGGTGCCATCGCTCTTGTCCTTTTGGCATCTGTTGAAGACTTTCCTGCTTCAGAATAAAGATCTTTCTCGGTCCGTATTGGATTTGAAAATGGTGTTTAATGCATTTTAATGGCTTTTGTTCATTTGTATGTGCAAACAAATTTGAATTAGGTTTTTATATAAGTAGTGACTTTTAATTGTATGTATATATGCATATGTTCATGAATGAAATAATAATTGCAGTACTGAACACAAGGGCATGCAGCCCTTGATCCACTTACCACATGTGACCGGAGAGGCACTTGTTGCTTAAGTAATGCCTTTCTAGCCTGCAGAATAAATCTGGAATATGTAGTGCAAACTCCCTCCTAAGCAGGCATGGGGAACCTGTGGTCCTTCAGATATTGTTGGAACTATAGCTCCCATCAGTCCCACCCCAGCCATGTTAATTGCATGCAAGGGGGAATGGCAGTTCACTCAGGCCTGTTTCCATAATAGATGTCCTCTCTGCTGAGCAGGTTGCTCAGCCGTCCAGTCCTTGTGAAGTGACGGGCCTTTCAAATAGACTGGCAAGGGTCATCTGCCTTTTTGGGACAAAGGGAACACTTTGGAAATCTAAGAAAGTGTTGTGAGCACCACCAAATTCTTATTTCACAGAAGAAAAACTGGAGGTGCTTAGAATTCCTCTCCTAAACAGGCAAAACTCCTATACACACACACTCCCAAGGTGCAGGTGGCCACTAAACTCCCACTCTCTCTACCTGACAGAGTGCTATATTGCAATTTTGGAACCATACAGAATATTTTTTGGGCAGTATTAATATTCCAAGAGGCAGCCCCACATTTGATGTACTGGGTAGCCTGGGGTGGTTCCTGCCAGTTTGGTGGAGGGGGCTTCTGTCCATACTCTAAGGGCTAACAGTGCCAAAACACTTCTCCACAATCCCCATCCTTAAAACGCATCATTATGGATCTCCCAGGCCTATTTCATTCAAGGTCTTCATCCTGTGTCATACTCGTGCTATTTCACAGTGCCCCGAGTTGTAGTTTCCAAGAAGAGGCATATTCTGAAAAGGGCCCCTGATCAAGTTCCGCTTATTTGTTTCCGTATTCATAACCGGAGGGTGTTGCTAACAGGCATGGGAGTCTGTAGGTGTCTCTGTCACCATGCAGAACTCACATCAGATGAAGCCAGTGTGCAAGAAATTCCAAGAAATGAGGCAGGGGAACATCTAGATGTGAAACATCAGCTTTTCACCACTAAAGAAACAAAGCGTGTTGGAGCTGTTCCCCCCTTGTACCATTCTTGTGTGATCAGCCATTCATCTATATGGCTGGCACTGGAATCATTGTCCATAATTTTATTCAGCCTTGGATAGCCTTAACATGCTTTTTCTCAACTCTTGACATACCCTTTCAGCTGTGGATGTGGAAACAACAATCCATTGGTAAAAAGCAAAGGGACCTGGTAGTGGTATAAGGAAGCAGATTTTGCTTAACCATCCCATTTTAACCATCATTGCTGGATACATTTCTTTTCCAGGAGCTGCGTTACACTGAAGAAGAACTGTACCGGACAAAGAATACTCTGCAGAGTCGGATATCGGACAGAGAAGAGGAAATTCAGAAGCTGAGAAACCAGGTAACTTGAGTAGACTTTAACTCTTCTCATAAGAAGGGGAGAAACATGGAAGCCCCTTGACCTCCTTGGAGGAAAGGTGTGATGTCAGTGTAGCACAACAGAATTATTAGCCAACGTACTGCTGGTAGATGCTGGAACAAACCAAAAGCTTCCTGTGAAAGCACATAAATGCTTTGGATGTGGGGGATGCTGGCATCACAGTAGGACTGCTCCAGATGTTGGGTTGGTATTGGGTTGTTTTGTTTTTTAAATCATTTATATTAAATACTGGCATCCTTGTACCTGACATTGCTCGGGACTTCAAGTTGTGCAGTGAGTGATATTGTACTGTATCCTTGCTTGTGTTCAGGGAGAGCCAAACAGGGAAATTGATTTAATTCATGCCACTCTTGTGTGATAGTCAAGATGTTTTCATCTCCTCTATCCCTTTTCCTCCAGTGTGGTGTAGTGGTTGAGAGCGGTAGTCTCGTAATCTGGGGAACCGGGTTCGCGTCTCCGCTCCTCCACATGCAGCTGCTGGGTGACCTTGGGCCAGTCACACTTCCTTGAAGTCTCTCAGCCCCACTCACCTCACAGAGTGTTTGTTGTGGGGGAGGAAGGGAAAGGAGAATGTTAGCCGCTTTGAGACTCCTTAAAGGGAGTGAAAGGTGGGATATCAAATCCAAACTCTTCTCTTCTTCTTCTCTACCTAGCTGACAAACAAAACACTAGGTAGCAGCAGTCAATCGGAGTTGGAGAATCGGCTTCATCAGTTGACGGAGACACTAATTCAGAAACAGACCATGTTGGAGAATCTGAGCACAGAAAAGAACTCCTTAGTCTACCAGCTGGAGCGATTGGAGCAGCAGCTGAAGACTGCCCAAGGTCCTTCAACCAATGGCCCCTCCATTAATATGGTGGGAATTGACGGCGGCGAAGGTAAAAATAGAGGCATGTTGACGACTAACAACCATGTTCACTAAGGATGTGTGCATTGTAAATAAATCCATGCTAGTACATAGACTGGGAAAATACTTGGTAGCTAAGCAGGTTGTGTTGCTTTTCCCCCTCCAGTTAGAATCCAGTGGGACCCACAGCAAAATGTTGCGGTGGATCTACTCTGAGTATGAGTTGGTCATGTACAGCAGTTTTAAGAGAAGCAAGTCAATGACTGTGTAGGGCTTTTCATTGAACTATTGTTAAACATTTGATTACAACCAGTTTACATTTTGAAAGTTTAACCTGCCCTTTTGTAGAGGTTAGTGGGCTACAGGAAGACACATGGAGGGGTTTTAATTCCTTTTCAAGCAATTTTGTTGCCAATATACCAGAACTTTTCTGCAACGTATTCAAAATAAAACCTTCCCTGTTTTTTAAATGTTTAAGCCTGGAAGGAAGTCCTTCTTTAATTTTGATTATTTCTTTTCATTATTCTATCTTGTATATTTTTGCTCAGTCTTTTGAGAAATGATAAATATTCTTCCCCCCCCCCCACTCCTATTTAGTTGTGGTCAGGTGCTTAATGATAGTAAAACTACCCAATGCAGCCATTAGCTTGCTTCTCTTAAAATTGTTTTTCACTTTAAAATCAAAGTTTATTTTGATTTGATTTTCTTGTCTTAAAAAAAATAATCTTCAAAATAATTATGCATGGTTGGGGGCTATCTTTAGCCCCCTCCCCACACACTTTAAACCTACTAGAAATTATAAAACGTTGTGTGGGACTGGAAGTGTGAGCCAGTCAGTTGAGTGTAATTAATCAATGACTTCATCAGTGGCACATAAAAATGTGGATTTCAATTACAATTGTCCCCATTAAGAAATTTCATTACTCGTTACATTCTAATGTTCTTAATGCAATCAGTAAACTCAACAGGACATTTCATCGTGTCAAAAGTTATTTTAGCAAGGGAAGCCTTTCATCTAGACAGAGCTGTAGAAGAATTTTCAGAGTATTCCAGCACCCTTCTAAGGCAGTAGTAGCCCACTCCCAAGCATCAAACATTCCAACTCAACAGATTTAATCCCATCATCTGGACTATGGTACCACAGTCCAGGACTCGGAAACAAACAAGGTGTCTGGTGCCAGAGTTAAAAAAAGCAACTGGTTTAGTAAAAGGCTATGGATGACTTGAGCAGGTTGGCTCTGCTCAGCACTATATTTGAAGCACTTTCAAAATGCAGTGCAGCGCAGTCGTAAACCAGTTTACTCTGAAATAAGATACACTGTTTCCATTGAGGCTTACTTCTGAATAACTGCGTCTTTATGATGGCAGCCTTAATTCATCATTTGGCTGCAATCAAGATACCGTATTTTTCGCTCCATTGGACGCACCGGACCATAGGACGCAGAGATCCCAAAACACCACTTCACCAGGTTGGGGCGCTCCCCGCAATCCTGCGGCAGGCCGCCCTGCAGGTGGGCGTCCTGAGGCAGCCCGTCTCTTGGAGACAGCGGTGAAGCACCGCCCTGGATTTCGGCCCCCGCGAACGAGACGGAGCCTCCGCCTCTGCGACAGGGTGAAGACCGGCAGAGGTTGACCCAGGGCGAGACGGCCTCCGTCCGCTGTCTCTGGAAGTGCCGGGGCCCGCCCGGAGTGGCCAGCCGCCGCGCTCCGGCAGCGCGTCCGCTGTTCTGGGAACAGCAAGACAGCTGGCGCAACCTCTTCACCCCGCTGTCCTGGAGGGCTGTCCGCCAGAACAGCGAGGGCTGGTGGCCCTCTCAGCCGTCCTGCAGAGCCCAGCCAGAAGGGGGGCCGTGCTCGTCTCTGTTTGTTGGGGCGCGCATTTCTTAGTTTGGAGGGGGAAATGTGCGTCCTATAGAATGAAAAATACGGTAGCTAAAACTCCTTAGTCAGTTTACAGTCCAGCTTTTTTGTTTCAGCGCCCCTGCAGAAGTGTTGGGCCTGTGTTGTATACTTTCTTCTCCTTCTTACTACATGTAGGTTGTAGCATTTCCCCCCAAATGAATCTCATTTATCTGTGTACATGAGCTTAAGATGTGCTCCTTCTGCTATCCCAATTGTGTGTACACATATCCTGGGATTTTTATTCCATTGCAGAGCACTCGGTGTGACTTTCAAAATATGAGCTTGCTGTTGAAATCAAGTAGCATCTAAGCTGGGTCCTTCATGTGTTGTGTTTGGGTGGTATCGCAATAGGTTCTACTTAAGAGTAGAACCATTGAAATGAGGGGACCTAACTTACTCATTTTGGTTAATGTCAGTAGGTCTGCTCTTGAGTAGGACTATAGCCCTTTTCACTTTTTGTCACAGTAATGTCATATGTGGATTTTCAGTATTACTGACTGGTTGATGAATTCTTTTTTCTGCTACTAATTTTTTAAATTGTTTTTAATCTAGGTGCACGCATGCGAAATGTTCCTGTCCTTTTTAGTGATCTTGATGTTAATGCAGCAGGAATGTATGGCAGAGTCCGCAAGGCTGCCAGCAGTATAGATCAGTTTAGGTGAGGAATTGAAGCCATTGTGGTTTTCTGCCTTTCCCTCTCCTCCCCTCCCCACCTGTCTACTTACAGAATCGGCTAGTAATATAAACATAATTCTGAAAAACCAGTGAGGTGAACGAAGTCCTGAATCTGGTACATGGTCATTTTAGAAGAGCCCTCCTTGTTCTCTCAGACAAGCCCACTGATCTGCATTCTTCTGCCATCACTGCTCTGGTGGGGCAGGAATCATTCTCATTGTCCCATTTCTCCATACTCTTTGAAATCTCAAAAGGTATTCTGTGTTAATCTTGAAAATTTACATGTGTAAGCAAACGAAAGTTGTCTCTGTAAACGAACAAGATAAGGCCTATAGATCAACCACCTTCTTATAGGGATTTCAGAATCTATCCCCATCTGTGTGGAGCTGTATGATGCAGGAAACTCTAAAATGTCATGCCCCATTTGATGGCTGAGAGCTGGGTTGAGGAACTCCCGCCCACAGGGTAGATATGAACCACAGCCAAATTTTATCCAGGAAGTTCTCTCCTGCCCATCAGCTATTTAACAGGGAGCATTTGGGATGGAAAGGGTTTGATGTTTTGCAAAGTGTGCCATTACAGATCTTTCTTCTGTAAGAAGTTCTGTTACAAGAAGGTAAAAGAAGAGGGGGAAATGTCTCAGCAGAGAGGTAGACCTTCGTTCTTTGTAAACATGCAAAATGTGTCCATGCATTTTGCTGTTGCATGCAAGAAATTTCCAGGATGCAGTTGTATTTAGAAGTTTGAAGCTTTGATGAGCTCTAAGAACTTGCCGTTCTGCTGTGAATTGATGCTTTCAGCTTCTTTTGGTAAGATTCTGGAGTTATTTTTGCCTTTCGTGCAATCAGGAAATATAAACTGCTGGAGAGTGTGGCTTTTTAAAAAACAACAACAATGAAGTTTTTAATGGAGAAAATTGAAAGTGACACTTGAGTTTAGTTGCCAAGATTTAAATGTATGCCCATTGTGTGTTATTTTGTGTGGGCATTACCCCACCCACTACTGGAATACAGCCCCCCCCCCGCCTCACCTCTGGATACTGCAAACTATTCTCTTGACTATGGCAGAATGCTTCTTTCAAGCCTAATTTCAGCAGGGCATGGGAACCTGCCAGGAACATGTCAGGAGTGAGTGAGTGTCCATTGGATCCATGTTGCCCTCACCTGTCTTACCAGGTTGTTGTTGTTGTTTAAAAAATTAACCACTGCTCCAGAAATGATTTAAACAGTAGTTCATGGCTGCAAGCTAATAACCATATATTATTCTCTAATGTTGATATTGCATTTGGTTGCAGCATTCGACTTGGAATCTTTCTACGACGGTATCCCATCGCAAGGGTATTTGTAATCATTTATATGGTGAGTCTGTTTAGCCTACTTTGAAAGCACAGCAGTTTTATTCCTTCTTACATAATAAATAATCTTCATCTGACAGGCATTGAGTGGCATGTACAAGAAAAATGGGATATAATTAACATTGGCAGTTGAGCATGCTCTGTAAGTAGGTTATGCAAGCTGCATCTTGGAATCATGCAGCGCAATAGATGCTGGCTGTTGCCTTTTTAAAAAAGGTCTTGTGCTTCAGTGCAGTTTTACAGTTGGCTCTTATCTTCTAGTAATAATAGTTTGCTCCCTTGAAGTAGCAATGTGCCGTTTCTGGCATTAGTAGTTGCTTTTGGTAGAGCAGCATTTCCAACATGGAAGCCCTGTGGCGGCGCAAGAAGCTAGGAACTGTCAAAGGTTGAAACAGGCACATATCAGTCCTGAAGATAAGCTTTCATGAGAAGACCACTTGGGTTGAATGCCTGGGACTGCCTTAAGAGAGGAAACTGAACATCCTGTTCCGTACCCCCACCCCAAGCCCATCACAGCAAACAGGCTGCAGGCAGTTTGTTCCTGGAAGCTCAGGACAATGACCACGTTATGGTCACAACCCTGGAGCTGTCTTGCTGTAGTTGTGCCTCTCTTTGTACCCTATCACTGTTTAGACCTACAACAAACTTAATTTTTTTAAAGAAGATTTTAATAATAAAAATTATACTTTTTATCCTAATTTAAACTAAAAAATAATAATTGTGATTCTGCCGCTGTTGCTGTCTGGATCCTTTCTATTTATCTCACAGCTTCCTTGCAGCTAAAGCATATAGTACCATCCCATAGGTGGAAACCAGAAATGCCGTTTACCTTCCCACCGCAGCGGTACCTATTTTTTTACTTGCACTGCCGTGCTTTCAAACTGCTAGGTTGGCAGGAGCAGGGACAGAGCAACGGGAGCTCATTCCGTTGTGGGGATTCGAACCGCCGACCTTCTGATTGGCAAGCCCAAGCGACTCAGTCGTTTAGAACACAGCGCCACCCACGTCCCTACTTGGCCCATTTAGCTCAGCATTGTCTTCACTGACTAGCATAGGGACCCTGCCGAATTTCAGCCAAGGGACATTCCCACCCTACCTGGAGGTGCTGGGAATGCATGCAAACCAGATGTTCTGTCATTGTTTTCCTGCTCAATCATCACGGCAGATAAGATTTTTTTTGGGGGGGGGGGTATGCCATGATTGTCCCAAAAGAATGCATCTGTTTTGCCTCTACAGGGGTGAATAAATTTCCAGCGCATGTAAAACCCCTGTCCTTTTCCACTAGAGGGAACTTCAGCCTGTGCTTTGTCGTGGTATCTTGCCTTGTTATATAAGCAATCCCTTTTTGAATTTCATCTGCCTTCTTTTGGTCTCTCCACTTGTCGAAAAAATGACTTTCTCGAGAGCATATTACTGAGTGTCTGAGATTTTCAATTTCTGGCTTCACAATAGTGACGTACTGCAGGGGGCAGAAAAACACTTCAGCCGAACACCTACATGTCGTTCCCCCCCATGCCAGTTCCAAATATTAAATCAAATGGGCCATGTTAATTTCCCCTATCTTTTAAAATTATTCAGACCCAAAAGTCCACTCCCACTTAACAGTAAAATCTTTAGATTAATATCCAAGCTCAGTTAGCATCTGCAGTGTATCAGCGTGGGTTCGGCCTTCCCACAATGTAATCTATAATCTCTTCAGCAGCCATTGTCGCTGCCCACGGGAGACTCTCACAAGGTCACTGTAGTATTTGAAAGGCTTTTCATAACGTGTCTGAAACTGCACTTTACTTTGCCATCGCTCAGAGCCCTTGTCGTGGCTAATGCAAGAGTGTGCCTTCTCAGTTCCGTGAAAAAGGGGAAAAGTCAGAATTCATTTATTTTGTATTGCACCAAAAGCTTTTGCTTTAACCGTTTTGGCATCTTGGGTAGGTAGAGAGTCAGTGTGATGCAACAGATAGAGCACTGAGAAGAACTGAGTTCAAATCCTCCGTTGGCTAATAAGCTGACTGGGTTTACTTTGAAGTGGTCTCTCTCTCTCTCAGCCTAGCTTACCTCCAGTACATATACACCTATGGGGTCATTCTATTTTTCCTTCAAAAAGCAGATGAAAGGATAGCATGGAATGGCCCTGTGTATGCATAGGTGAACTGCTCAGCAGAAGAGCTGATATACCAGGGGTCACAAAACTTTTTCAGCAGGGAGCCGGACTATATATATTTGGGGGGGGGGCGGGAAGGAACAAATTCCTTTGCCCCACAAATAACCCAGAGATGCATTTTAGATAAAAAGACAGATTCTACTCATGTAAAAACATGCTGATTCCCGGACCGTCCGCGGGCTGGATTTAGAAGACGATTGGGCCGGATCCGGCCCCTGGGCCTTAGTTTGCCTACCCATGTGATATACAAATGCAAATGGGTCTCTGTGCTTACCCCCCCCCCCCGCCAATGCAAGTTCCCCATCTGCACGTGTGAGGTTTTATGGGGAGCACATGTCTCATTGCTGTTTCTTGAGTGGAATTGGATGAATTTCCTCTAATGGTGCAGGGCTTTGCCTCAGGAGTGGGATCCAACATAGTGCAAAGTTTCTCGTTCCACCAGAACATTCCTCTCCTCTCGTCTCCCTGCTCACTCCCTAAATCTTTTCTAGGGGTCCCCCCAAAACATCTGGAGCAGATTTGGAAATGGTGTGTGCATGGGGGGTGCCCAGAGAGTCCAATTCTACAAGCTGAAAACCATGTGCTGACGGGATGCGGTAGTTGAATACTGCCCAGGGTGTTTGGGTTTCTCACAGTTCATAGTGTTGTGCACTAACTCCTTTTTCTCTCTTGCCAGGCGCTGCTTCACCTCTGGGTCATGATTGTTTTGCTCACCTACACCCCAGAAATGCATCATGATCATCCAAGTGGGAAATAAAACCCGATTCCGGAACAGAAACATACTTAGTTTATGTAACCTTCATTGGCCAAGGAGAAACCCCCCAACAGCTGACTGTTTGCAAGGGGGAGAGGGGTTTTGGCATTGGAAAACAGGACAGCGGCTGCATTTGTTTCCTTGCTACTTTCGCAAACTTAAATTATTTGGCAGGTGATCTAATTTAAGTATCTTTCACTTCCATGAGACAAAAGCCATATCCCTGGGGGAGAAGGCTATTCGAAGAATTCTAGCCTCTGTTCTGTCTTTTGTCCCTCCCTTAGCGTTGCACACACTTATGAAGCCTGTGTAGAGCAACACCATTTTTTGAAACGTATACATGGATATGGGGCATACTGTATTTTTGATCCTGCAGGAAATGGGCTCTAATCAGGGAAACTAACTGTAATTAGAAGCTAAAATGAACTTCCATTCATTATTGCACCTTTTAACTTTGTAAATATACATTTAGCTTTTCTTTAATAAGCTCTCTCACAGACCTGACGCCTGCTTCTCAGAATTTACCTTATCTGTAAATAGCTTTAAAGAGAAATAAAGAATATATTGTGCATTGCTTTAACTTTGGTCCTTCAAAATTTTGGAGTGTCATCCATAGTAATGCAGAAAACTGATATTTTTGAACCATATTTTGATAGTCATGTATAGCCGTGTACATATGCAACTGTTAGATTTGAGTGCCTTTTGTTCTTTGCATCTTTGCCATTGCCCATCAGTTGCCTTATTAAATCTTTCCTGTCTTCAAATTTTCATGGTATCGATCTTAGCATCATGCTCATTTAATAGAAAGAAAATATTTATTTATAAATTCAAACACATTCAAAAAATGTGTTGAGGATTGATCATTAAAGGGGTTGGCAGCTGGCAATAAAAGCAACCACCAAGCTTGAGCTATTTTTGACCACTGTTGATTTCATGCAATTTGTATATCCTCCTATATCTGCGGTCTATTGATCTGCCAGTGCAAATTTCCTGTGGTCTTTCGACATGCTTTCCTATTAAGAGACTTTTCTTCCTTTTGCTTGTGCAGCTGAGAAACACAACAGTGATTAAGGTGAAGGGAATTAGAGCTTTTGGGTGTGAGGAAGGGGTATGGGGCAAGCCATCAGGTCCCTTTGGCTTCCACTGGAATTTATTCCCAGCCTGTTCTGATGATAAAATCAAAGGAGCATCGGAAGCAAGAAATGTTGTAGCAATGGATGATTTCACACATAAATGGCTACATAAATGTTCCTGTTAAAATTTCTAGATACTGTAAATGACTGTGCCCTAAAGCAGTGGTCCTAGGCTGCAACTCCTGGTGCCAAGCTTTCCTTTGGGCCACATCAGTGAGGCTGAGAGAGGGGTCTTGTCATCTGGACAGCCCAGAACCTCCATACACGCTGCCCAGGCTTGCAACCTGGGGAGGTCACATTGGTACTTGCTAACGCAGGGGTTTTGTTTCACCCCTGGAGGCAAACTCCATTGTCTCTTAAGACAGACTGGTGCCAACAAGAACAGTTGGACATGGAACCAACCAGAGGGAGGGTGACCCTGGACTTAAGTGGGTTCACACTCAAGCCCAGTTTCCCCAAATACCCATTGGTGTTTTTCCAGGCAATAGGCATCTGGTGCAAAATGCAATTGTGGTTTAACCAATTGGGAGCAGCGACAATAGGAGAAGGAGTTGAGCCCACTCAGGGAGGGGTTCTTCCTGAGGAAATCATGCTCTTGTGGGCATCCCACAAGCATCTAATTGGCCGCTGGGAGAACAAGATGCTGGACAAGATGGGCCATTGGCTGAGCGTCTCTACGCGGACATCGAGGTCCAGCGCTGAGGGCCTTCTGGTGGTTCCCTCACTGCGAGAAGCCAAGTTACAGGGAACCTTGCAGAGGGCCTTCTCGGTAGTGGCACCCGCCCTGTGGAATGCGCTTCCACCAGATGTCAAAGAGAACAACAACTACCAGACTTAGAAGACATCTGAAGGCAGCCCTGTTTAGGGAAGCTTTTAATGTTTGATGCATTACAGTATTTTAATATTTTGTTGAAAGCCGCCCAGAGTGGCTGGGGAAGCCCAGCCAGATGGGCGGGGTATAAATAATGAATTATTATTATTCTATTATTATTCAGCAGCAGGCTATTTTTACATCCTTGTTTCTTCCTGCAACGTAACTAGAGATCACCTACTGAATTTCTCATGGAAATAGAATTGGCTTAATTAAGCAGTCAGCTGGAGTATTTTAACCAATTAATCCAATCTAATGTCCACATTTCACTAGAAGTTGATCAGCAGTACCAAACGACATGGGCTCCTCGTTTATTAACTCTGAACCTTTTCCAGTAAAGCCTCTAATAAAAAGACCTTCTCATACTTAGCTGATTATCGTGGAGTTCATTCTGTGATCTCCTAATAACCTTTTAAGCATTCTTTTTATATTACTCTTGTCTTTCCATTAGATCTGCCTTTTGCTCTATCTTGGTCAGCTGTTTCATGAACAGAGCTTCGCTGATGCAGCACAGCTCTAATATTACAGTTTGCCATGCAGCACGGCAATGTTTTTGAACTCCTTACTCTGCCATTCCACGGGCTGTGCCTTACGTTAAATCACAGCTTATCTTGGTGGCAGATGAGAGGAATGGCCCCTCCAAATGTCCTCTTTATTAAGCATTCGTGATGATTTGTGCTCATGAGGGCATTGGGGTGATTTTACGCAGTTCCTGCTTGTACCTGCAAAAGCTCTGGGGAGAGTGCACTCTCCGGCAATTGATGTGTGTCCCACAGCTTCCTGTTAAAACCCTCTAACTTCATACACTGCAAATGCGGGGTAGGATGGGTGTTGTCTCGCTTTTGTTGTGTTAAAATGAAAGGGTGCCCTTCCAGAAGACAGTGATACGCTAATGCTGAGGAACCATCACAGAGCAATGAAGAAAGTGGGATGATGCGCAGATAGGTAAAGGTAAAGGGACCCCTGACCATTAGGTCCAGTCATGGCCGACTCTGGGGTTGCGGCGCTCATCTCGCTTTATTGGCTGAGGGAGCCGGCGTACAGCTTCCAGGTCATGTGGCCAGCATGACTAAGCCGCTTCTGGCGAACCAGAGCAGCGCACGGAAACACCGTTTACCTTCCCGCGGGAGCAGTACCTATTTATCTACTTGCACTTTGACGTGCTTTCGAACTGCTAGGTTGGCAGGAGCAGGGACCGAGCAACGGGAGCTCACCCCGTCACGGGGATTTGAACCGCCGACCTTCTGATCAGCAAGTCCTAGGCTCTGTGGTTTAACCCACAGCGCCACCCGCATCCCTAAGCTCCAGTATAAAAACCCACCACTGGCACTCTTCTCGTGTCAATGACATGCTGCAGAATGCAAAAATGAAACAAAACACCTGCCTGGAGGGAACCAAAGTAGAATCATAGTAGAGTTGGGACCGCAAGGGCCATCTAGTCCAAACCCCTGCATTGCAGGACTCTCTTGACCAACCTTCCTCAGAAAAAATCGCTGTGAGGAAGGTGGCCATGGGAGTGCCTGTTGAAAGTTTCACATTTTAATTTCCTTTTTCAAGTTTCCCGTCTGGCATTCCAACACAGACCCTCCAAGTGTTCCTATTTTTCAGGGACAGTCGGATGGACGGCTTATAGTTATTGTTATTAAATAGGGTGTCCCTGAGAAATGTTGGAGAGTATGACTTAAGTCTTTTAGTTTTGACTGTTAGTACTGAAGCTGGGTCTGGATTGTGTTGGTGTACCACTCACTTAGCTGCCTATCAGTCTTTCCCTCGCCAGACTTAATAGTTGTCTCCCCAGCTGTGGGGGAAATAAATTATCGTTGGCATTAATGGGAGCACTCATTGCAGCAATGGGTGGAAGTAGATTTTCCTTGGGATCACAGCTGGGGAGTGAAGAGTTAACTTTCTCCTTCCTGTACACTGGTCCCTATGAGAATTTCCCCCCTTCTCAGCACATTTACATTTATTTCTTAAGTCCTGGCGTGGTTGCTCATCATGCGATAAAAGTAACAACTAGTTTAGTCCTCAGATGCAACGAGAGACAAATTAATAACACAATTCTGAGTGCTAGAGCTGTTGTAAAAAAGCCTCAGACAAACTTCTCTGTGCTAGATCAGCATGACGGCAATCATGTTAAGTTATGTCCTGGTTTTGATAATACACATTGAAGATATCTACATACCATATGCTAACAAGCTGGGTGAAAATGAGAGATCTTTGCTGTGATTTGAGAGCTGCATCAAGTTGTCCTCACCACAGTCAGAAAATGTGACCATATAAATGATACCTTGAGCCATTTATAGTCGACTAACAAGACAGCAATGCAAATATAAGCAGAAAGCCTTCTTGCGGAAGACTTCTTAGCTAAAGTTTAACAAAGTTAAAGGAACCTTAGCAAATGTTTGGTCAAAATAATGTGAAAGAGAGAAGCTTTTACTGAACGATGTTTTCATTTGAATTGTGAACTGTGTGGCTTTTCAACTACAGTAAGTCTTCAACAGAACAAACGGCTATTTGCTCTAACGGACATCTCACAGCATTTAATCTGGATAACACTCCCAAGTATTTAAATTGTCCGACTGTCAGGAGCAGAAGTGGCATTTGAAAACACAAAAAAGTTGGAAACGGTATAGCAATTAGAACTCAAAAGGATCTGGCCAATTAAAGAAGGAGTTCTGATCTTGTGGTTTTTGTGTACTGCCAGGACATGGTGCTTGCTTCCGTGAATGGGGAAGAATTTGTGAAAGTGGCTTTTTTTCCCAGATGAGACTTGTCTGAATCGTACTGTCTCTAATTTTCTTGCCTGTCTTTTGGCTAACCCGAACTGCATCCTCTTCAGTTGTGTTCTGCTGCTCCACCGGCTTTATCATAGTTCTGCCATCACTGACGCTAACTACATTTGTAAGTGGCATGTGAGATTTTACCTGCGGGGGTGTGCGCTGGTCAGTGGATGAGGGACTTCTTTGGCTTACAGACTGCTGCCTTTTGACAAGGGACTGTGACCTGACAGCCTGGTTTGGGTTCTGAGGCTGTTCCTCAACCTCATTATCTGCAATTGTTTCCTCTTGGGCTTCTCCCTTTTCTTCTTCACCAGCAACTCCACTTTCCTGAGGTTCATTACTTTCATTGTTACCCTCCTCATTAATTTCACTGTTAGGTTTTTCCTCCTGGACATCAGAGACTTCTTCATTTGTGATGCTGCTCTCAAGAGCTTCCTGATCAACCAGGCCTTCAGAATCCCCCATCCTTCCTATTTGTCTCCAAACTATTATTGTCAGTCAGTCCGCTTGGAACAGATGCTCAGCATTTCCTTTTCCTATTAGCTACCTGCAACGTTAGGACGTCTTTCCCTATTTCCTTCTTCCTTCTCTCTGAAAACAATACATCAAGAATAATTGGGAGTTGTTTTCCCTCTTATTTAGGTATGGCCCCACCTTCATGAAGTCTCATCTGAGTTCACGCTTGTATGGCTGTTGCATAATGGATCCAGATGGGCTGCAGATATCTTCTTTCCTCTTTTTCCTGAGAGTGAGTTCACATCATGGCATTGATACAAAAGCCATTGCTAGGTTGGGAAAGACTTAGGTGGAGTCTTTCTGTTTTTACTGTAGCTGCTACACTGTTCTAGAACCTCTGACTGATTTCTATGACATCACTGTCTGTTCTACATCTATGCGTTCAGGGATAGGCAGGCTTCTAGATTACACCGTCTCCTTTTCTTTGTTTGTTTTCCACTAGAAACTCTGTGGTCCACCAATTTGTTTTAAGTTTACACAGCAAGAGCACATAGCTGGAATATATTAAGGCAAAATTGATTTATGTTTAGTGATCTATGCTCTTGCTTCATAACAAAAATGGCATGTTGGATGTGATCAAGAATCACAGTGTTGATAAAAAATGGAACCAAGGAAGGGACTAGGAGGAAGTCAATTTTTTTTGTTTTGTTTTAATTTTGTATTGTTGATTTATTTTTGTTACTTTTGGAAAATTAATAAAATGTTATTAAAAAAGAAGAAAAAAGGGCCACAGTTTCTTGGCAGTACAGTATAGCTTAGGCTGGTACACTAGCTATGACACTACCTTGCTTCAGTTTCCCATGCTTTGGCAACTTCCAGTTTGGATTCACTCAATATTAATGCAAAACACACAGTACTGATTTTAGTTCAAAGCAGAATAGAAATGTCATTGCCCCTGAAAAAAGCAACACACTGAAAGATGTTGGGCATAAGGCCTTCTTTTGCAGGAATGGCTTAAATCCAAACCATGCATGGAAAGTATAGAAAGAAAGAATGGGGAGTGCTCTCCCCGATTCTTTCATTAGCTGGGTATGTTTAGCTTGAAAAAAGGAAACTGAGAGGAGATATGATAGCCATCATCAAATATCTCAAGGGCTGTCACATGGAGGAGGGAGCATGCTTGTTTTCTCCTGCTCTGGAGGTTAGAACTCGAACCAATGGCATCAAGTTACAGTGGTACCTCAGGTTACAGGCGCTTCAGGTTACAGACACTTCAGGTTACAGACTCCGCTAACCCGGAAGTAGTACCTTGGGTTAAGAACTTTGCTTCAGGATGAGAACAGAAATTGCGTGGCGGTGGCAGCACGGTGGCAGTGGGAGGCCCCATTAGCTAAAGTGGTACCTCAGGTTAAGAGCAGTTTCAGGTTAAGAATGGACCTCCAGAACGAATTAAGTTCTTAACCCGAGGTACCACTGTACAAGACAGGAGGTTCCAACTAAATATTAGGGAAAACTTTCGGATTGTAAGACTTCCTCAGGAGATGGTGGACTCTCCTTCATTGGAGGTTTTTAAGCATAGATTGGATAGACATATGTCATGGATGATTTAGTTGAGTTTCCTGCATTGTAGGGGCTGGACTAGATGACCCTTGCGGTCCCTTCCAACTCTATGATTATATGAAGTTCAGACACCGGGTGCATCATGGTGACAGATGATTGACAGGTGGAGGGTCTCACCTGTCAAAATGGCCTGCAGGCAGGACCAGCCCAATCAAGAGGCAAGGTGAGGCAGTGACTGCCTCAGGTGGCAGGATCCACTGTGGTGGCAGATCCCAGTGTTGATCTTTCTTTCCCCGCTTGTTCCTGTTGTAGACCTTCACCCCTTTTTCTCTAGTGGGGGATGGGGCACCATTTGGGTGTTCCCTACTTGCTGGGGTGGGGATCATATTAGCCACCCATTTTCTATTATTATTATTATTATTATTATTATTATTATTATTATTATTATATTGTACCCTGCTCAGTCACTCTGAGTGGCTTCCAACATAATATAAAACAACATAATGAAACACCAGACATCAACAGCTTCCTGATACAAGGCTACCTTCAGGTGTCTACAGAAAGTAGTATAAATGTTTATCTGGTATGTCCCACGGAGGACCTTACGGTCTTCAAACAAAAACACCTTGGAGGTTCCAGGCCACAGAGAGGTTAGGCTGGCCTCAACCAGAGCCAGGGCTTTTTCGGCTGTGGGTCCAATCTGGTGGAATGCTCTGTCACAAGAGACTAGGGCCCTCCGGGAGTTAACATCCTTCCACGGGGCCTGCAAAACAGAGCTGTTCCACCAGGCCTTTGGCCAAGGCACAGCCTGACCCCATCCTTTGATAACACTGGGCAACAATTTTTTACTTTTTGAATGTTGTCTAGATTTCTACAATTGATTTAGGGTATTTTTGCACTGCTGAATCAGGAAATGGCATCCGTTTCTCTCCATCAGGTCAGGTTTTTGTGCTATGTTGATTTGAAAAAAATTAGATCTTGTGACAAAATCGATTACATTTTTGTGGCATTATCAGCTGATTTTTGTCAACACATATCATCCTAAATATGTTTTTAGGAGAAAAAAATGTTTTTCCAACGACATATATTGATTACCTGATAGAAACATCGATTACTGTAAACTGAATGGTGGGCATTGATAAAGGTAAGTACACATAAATTGCATGTTGCTTCACCATTTTTCAAACTTCAGGGCTTGAACTTCCATTTCTTGGAACTCCTGGAATGCTCAGCGGCTTGGAGGTCTCTCTTCAGAGTCCAACAGTAGTCAGCCATCATGACTGCGTCCCAGCGACCCTGATACCTGGTCTCCATCTCTTTCATGTCCTGATGGAATCTTTCCCCCTGCTCGTCACTCATTGAACCCAGGTTCTCAGGAAACCGGTCCATATGTGAAAATAGGTAGTGCATCTTGACGCTCATGTTGCAGCCCAGGTTTCTGAAAGCAGTCAGCATGTTGTTGACAAGTTCTGCGTAGTTTCTGGCCTTATTGTTGCCCAGAAAGTTCTTCACTACCAGAACAAATGCCTTCCACGCTTCCAGTTCCACTCCGTTCATTGAGTTTCCGAACTCTGAATCTCTGATGAGCTGAAGGATCCGAGGACCGTCAAAGATGCCAGCTTTCAACTTCTCCATGGTCAATCCTGGAAAAGCCTGGCACAAGTAAGTGAAGCAGTCACCATCCTTGTCCAGAGCCTTGGTGAACTGCTTGATTAAGCCAAGCTTGATGTGCAGCGGTGGGAAGAGTATTCTGTCTCTGTCCACCAGAGGGTCGTTGATGACGTTCCTTTCTCTGCAAGGCACCAATTCCTCCCGCACAGGCCAGTCCTTCTTCGTGTAATGCTGAGCACGGTCCCTACTATCCCACATGCACAGAAAACATGGATACTTGGTGAAGCCAGACTGTTGTCCCAACAAAAAGTTCACCATCTTCAGGTCAACACAAATAAACCACTTATGCTGATCATAACCAATTTTCTCCAGCACATACTTCACCACTTCATAGTTCTCCTTCAGTGTACTCGAGTGAGCCAGGGGTATAGAGGCAAACTGGTTGCCATTGTGTAGCAGAACACATTTCAGTGATCGCTTGCTGCTGTCAATGAACAGTCTCCAATCTTTGGGTTCGTACTGTGGCACTCCAAGCTTGAGCAGAAGCTGCGCAATATCTGCACAGTACGCCAAGTCCTTCTCTTCTGAGAAAAAACGGAGGTATTCTTGATGCCTGTTGTGGAAGAAGCTGATGCGAGCACTGTCAGAGAGGAGGTTTTTTCCTTCAATCTGGATGCCAACAGTTCGGCAGAGTCCTTTGACAAGTTGAGGTCGTGAACTAGATCATTCAACTCCTTTTGGGAAAATGGATGTGGAGCATCATCTTCAAGAACCACTTCTTCTTCTTCATGTCCTTCAACACTGGAGGCATCTTCGTCACTAATGTCAGGAAGTTCTCCGAAGATAGGCACTGGAATTTCATCACAATGAGTTACAGGACGACGTGCTGATTGAAAATCAGGATACTTGAGGCTGCTCCAGTTCTTTCTGTTGATCCCAGTCACATCAACAGCGCAGAAGTAGCAGTCAGTGACATGGTTTGTCAGCTCCCTCCAAACCATGGGAATTCCAAAGTTCAGACTCCTCTTGCCATTGGTCCACCCATGTAGAGTCTCGGTGCATGCCTTGCACACCATGTGTGGCGCCCAAGCTTTATCCTGGTCACCAAGTTTAATACCAAAATAAGCATGGTAAGCAACTTTATGCTTTGCCGCACCAATTTATGGAAGATTTCGAGGTTTTATGACTTCAAACTGATCCCTTTTCGACATAATCACCCAGAACTATCGGACCTGAATACTTCTTGTCATTAAAATAATCATTTCCAATCAAAACAATTATTCGACATGGCATTTTACCCCCACCAACTTCTTCTAAAATGCTCCACACAAGCGTACATGTGAACAAAAACGTAAAAAAAGACATGTGGCCATAGCTCAAAAACTTGACCTGATTGAGCAAAACCAATGTGATTTTTGGATTCAGCACATCAGATTCATCCTAAATCAACTGAAAAAACACAGACAACAAATTTGTTGTTGACCAGTGTAATTCTTCACAGAACTCTAGCCCAATGCTTGCCATCAATTTGATTTGAACTGATTTTATAATGAATTGATTTTAGAATGTTGTATTATTTTACTGTTGTTAGCCGCTCTGAGCCCGGCTTTGGCTGGGGAGGGCGGGATATAAATAAAATATTATTAATTATTATTATTATTATTATTATTATTTATCATCTCTTTGACTACTGATGGGAGGGCATTACACAGGGCAGGCCCTCTGCCTGGTTCCCTGTGATTTCACTCCTCACAGTGAAGGAACTGCCAAAAGGCCCTCAGAGCTGGACCTCAGTGTCCAGTCTGAATGATGCAGGGAGAGACACTCCTTCAGGTATACAGAACCAAGGCTGTTTAGGGCTTTTTAAAGCTCAACGCCAACATTTTGAATTGTGCTTGGAAATGATAGACAGGTGCCATCTCTGTTGCATTTCCAACACCTGCTGACGACCTTCCGCTTTCAACAAACCTTTGAGGTGGAGATCTTCACCAGCATCTGTGTTCCAGATATTCTTGAAGTTTTAATTATTTTATTACAATTGTGTTGCCAACCTGGACTCCTTGGAAGGGGGGGTGGGATGTAAATTTAATGATAAAGAAATCTGCACCATTAACTAGGAGCATTGAATTTATTGAACACTATTGCCAGTTTTAAAATTGACCGGTGGGCAAAGTTGATGAGAAGCACCCCCACCCCCAAGATGTGAAATGAAGGTGAGGGACCCAAGGTCCAAATCAGAACCACAGAAGGGTTAAACATCCCCTTCTCCAAGGTAGGATTGACTCATGTCTGCAATTTACTTTTAAAGAGCCAATCATGCAGTTGCTGATCACATGATTCATGGCATTTGAAAGAAGATCGTGCATAGTCATCGGGCTCTGGGATGGCCTGTGGAACTACGTTCACTAGTTTCTGCTCTCGTAAGAGGAATTAGCATTTCGTCCAGTGGAGGAAAGACATAGTAACTTGGAGAACAGCACAGATACTCTGCTAGTGTTCTTCAACCCCAAAAGAAACTTGTCTGCATAGTACTGCATTTAACTTCTTTGCCTACATGTCAGCTTAGCCAAATGGCATCCTCCTCAACATTAATTTACTTCCTTTGCTGCAGCTGCTTAGTTGTTTTGCTCTGGAGGTATCGTTGCTCAATTGATTGTTGACTGGACTGCTGAGATTCCTGATCCGCTGGCTGTTGGTGGCTGCTAGGAAACGCTTGCAGCAACTGCTTGATTTCTGGGCCACTTGCCTTTCTGCCTGTAGAATGCAGGTACTCTGAAAGGGTTTTTCCATCCCAAAAGAAAGTTGTTTGAGTAGCACTGCATCTAAGCTCTTTGCCTGTTCGTGGGCAAATCCAAACGGCACCTTCTTCAGTTTTAGCTTTCTTTGATTGCTGGGGTGGGTAAGCTCTGTTTCTTTCCGGAGACTGGTTCCTGTACTTGTATTCCGCACCGGCCGGTGGTTGACTGCCACTCTCGCAATCCTGCCCCACTAAAAATTGGAAGCTGGGGACCAATTTATACAAGGAAGACTCTTCAGGCTCCGAGCCCCCAGGTGGAGCTGTACCTTCTTTTGCACCTCTCCCATCTCTTTCAGCATCTTTGTTTACCTGTCGCTTGTTACTAGAAGGGCTCAGGACTTCTGCAAGAGGTTTCTTGTCCCAATGGGGACTTGTCTGGTTAAAGTTGCTATGCAGTTCTTTGCCTGTTCTTGGACTTAACAAAGGTTTGGTATCCTTGGCGCTAGCTTCGTTTGTCGAAGGCACTTGGAGAGTTTTAGAGCTCTGCAAGCAATGGTGGCCAATGGATGGGTGGCTTCTAGGGAACCCTTGACTTACTGGCTGCTGGCAGGAGTACTTTCTGACCGAAGTTGTATTATTACCTGCTTTGCTGCCAGGCAGACCTGGTGTTTCCTGGTGTTTGCTCATTTCGTTGTTCCTTTCCTCAGGAGTTTCGCTAGGTGTTCCGCCCTTGACACCAGAAATCTGTTCATTTGTTCCACTGTTCTGATCAAGCCGGCGTTTAGGATCCATACTTTCGTCTCCAGACTACTAACGCCAGTCAGTTCCCTTGGAAAAGATGCAGCAAAGTTTCCCGTTTTCTACTAGCCACCAGAGAAACACTCGGGAAGCCTTCCCCAAATGTCCTCCTTCCTTCTCTTTGAAAGCTATAAATCAAGAATACTTGGGAAGTGTTTCTTCTCTTATTTTATTCTGATAACAGGTGTCTCCTCCCTGTTCTTCCCATCTCAGCTCCAGCTTGAAAGAATGTTGTGTAATCCCATAATGGTCCAGACGGGTGGTAAGTTTGCTGTTTCTTTTGAGAGCAAGTTCAAATCATGGTGTATTATATATATTAAAGCAACAGCTCTGGGTATGCTGCAGGTGGATTTCTATGGTATCTTCATGTTTTCACTGGCTCTACCACACTGTTCTAGAACTTCCGGTTGATTTCTATGACATCACTTCCTTTTCTACTCCACTCATGAACTGTAATCCCGAGCCTACCAAAGTTTAGTGTGCAGTGCCAGCACCAATCAGGGGAAGCTGTGTATGATCAAACCATCTACCTACTCAACGGCTTCAATCTGAGGAACTGGCACTTAGACAAGTCCCTCACAGTGTTCCGCATTTGCAGGGGATCATAAGAACATAAGAAGAAGAGCCTGCACGATAAGGTCAATGGCCCATCTACTCCAGCAACCTGCTCTCACAGTGGCCTACCTGCGGGAAACCCAAATGCAGGATCCGAGCACAAGAGTATTCTTCCCTCCTGCAGTTTCTAACAACGGGTATTCAGAAGCATATTGCCTCTGACCATGGTGGCAGAGCTAATAACCATGGATAACCTTCATTAATTTGATGGCTTTTTCAAAGCCATCAAAGTTGAGGGCCATCACTGCCTCCATAGTTTCACTTTCTTTTATTTTATTTTATTTTATTTTTATTGAACTTATTTGTCTTGTCCAGGGTAACCCAAAACGACTTACAACCAACCAAACAGACAACCCCCCCCCCAATCGTTTCATTAAAACCAAGACGCCTGAGCCATTTTCCAGAGCTTGGTGGGGGGTTGAGAGGAAGTTTGCTTTAGAATTATTTGGTAGGGTTGAAGGATGAGGCTTACCTGACTGAAACACAGTAGCTGACAGACCCCTGCTCCTGTCCTTATGGTTTAAAAATGCTTCATTAGCATCACCCACTAAATATGAATGCAACCAGGCAAAAAGGGAAAAGGAAGAGGCGGGACATGTGGCTCCTTCCTGTCTTAACCCGGCAGTGACCTCTCCACCCAGCTGCAGCAAGACAAGAGATGAGCAGGGCCTCTTCACTGGCACTGCTGAGAGAACAGCTCTATTTGCTGCTCTTCCTCTCCCTGAACTGTTCCATTCCGACAAGCCATCGTGAGAAGTCCTGTTTAAGATTCACAGCCCAAGTTTGCTTCCCCACCCCTTCTTTTCTGTTTGTGTTGCCTTTAAAATTGTAAACTTGCAGGCAGAGGTCTGCCCAGTTTCTCCCCACCTAGGGAGCCTGTTTGGCTGAAGAGGAGGTTAGAAACGCTTTAATTAATTATTATTATTTTCAATTCAATCTTTATTAGTTTATAAATAATACATCCAATCCACTTGAAACACCAAAACGCAAAATACTACAATTAAATGATTTTGCAGAACTGTGCTGAAAAGCAGGGTGCAACGTTTGGAAAAACAGAACAAAACCCCCCGCTTTAAATGAAAAATAAACAATTAAACAAACTCTAGCTATGAACTGTGTGTGCTAAAGACCCAAATAAGGTAATGGTAAAGGGACCCCTGACCGTTAGGTCCAGTCGCGGACGACTCTGGGGTTGTGGCGCTCATCTCGCTTTATTGGCTGAGGGAGCTGGCGTACAGCTTCCGGGTCATGTGGCCAGCATGACTAAGCCGCTTCTGGCGAACCAGAGCAGCGCACGGAAACACCATTTACCTTCCCGCCAGAGCACTTTGACGTGCTTTCGAACTGCTAGGTTGGCAGGAGCAGGGACTGAGCAACAGGAGCTCACTCCGTCACAGGGATTCGAACCGCTGACCTTCTGATCGGCAAGTCCTAGGCTCTGTGCTTTAACCCACCAGCGTCCCTAAAGACCCAAATAGCTTTGCTTAAAAAAAGTGTGTGTTTTTAACTTAGCTTCCTATGTTCCTATTTAACCTTTCTTGTATTTAGTCCAACCATTGGTCCATCTAGCCCAGCACTGTCTACTACACTGACTGGCAGCAGCTCTCCAGACAAGGGTCTTTACCAGCCCTACCTGGAGATGCTGAGGATTAAACTGGGACCTTCTGCGTGCAAAACAGATGCTGTTCCGCTGAGCTAAAGCCCTTTCCCCCAGCCTTGCTAGAGTAATTATGAAGCATAAATAAGCCCACAGCTAATGGTCGACAGAGAACGTTTATTAGGCCACTGGCAAAACTACCAGCCATTTTGCAGCTGTTGAAGCTTTAAGATTATTTTAGGCCTGCAGATGTGCTCCCGTCCTTGATAATTAATTATGTTATGCTTTAACTGGCCACCAGGTAAGTGTTGCTTTTCTCCCTAGAGTAAGGTACGTGCCCATTTTATCAACTATATTTTTCCTGGAGATGGAGGTAATTTGGTTACTGTGTTCCCCTTTGCTTTGTACCCTGTCAACAAGGCCATGTGGCAAAACAAACAAGTCTTTATTAAAGCCATCTATTTGCTAGCAGTCAAGCCAGGGATTATTACGAGGAAATGGATGTTCATCTTTTCCGACTAATACCTTTATCTTTTTTAATTATCGCTGCTAACGAGCTGGCAGCTGACATGGCCTGTTATTGACTGGCTTTCTGTGTAAACTTTCATTCGAGAAACTGCAACATAATCACAGAGGAAAGGTGGTTGGAAAATTCTATAGACTCAGGCAACGTTTGTGTTTTTCATTCATCGCGTGGGCAAACACAGCCCGGCCCTTTCACACCAAAGCTTTGTTCCCTCCACTTCTTTTACTAGTCAGAAAAGATGACTCAGACCACATCCCTGTGAAGGCAAAGGCAACACATTTGAGTTGCTAACTTCCACTGTTGGTTCATCAGTTTACATATGGGGCTCAATTGCTTTGGGAAAATACTGAATAATTCCCAGGGTGATTTTTAAATAAGAAAACAATCTAATCTTTTAATTTTATCTCTGTGCTGGAAGAGTATTGTTTTATAAAGGAACATGTTACAGCAGGGATAATTTTATGTTAGTTTGAAAGTGCATGAAGATCCTGCGTGACAAACATTGTGTGTGTGTGCGTGCGTGCGCACGCGCAGGCTTTGCTATTTCACAGGTAAGCACAACAGAGTTAGCACAACAGAGATAGCACAACTGCTGCTGCTTCCAGGTACAGTGGTACCTCGGGTTAAGTACTTCATTCGTTCTGGAGGTCCTTTCTTAATCTGAAACTGTTCTTAACCTGAAGCACCACTTTAGTAATGGGGCCTCCTGCTGCTGCTGCGTCGCTGGAGCCCGATTTCTGTTCTTATCCTGAAGCAAAGTTCTTAACCTGAAGCACTATTTCTGGGTTAGCGGAGTGTGTAACCTGAAGCGTATGTAACCTGAAGCGTATGTAACCCGAGGTACCACTGTATCTGGCTGGCCACTGTGGGAAACAGAAGGTTGGACTAAATCAGGGGTTGGCAAGGATTACTTGCCTGGGCTGGTTCACTGCCGCGAAGCCCCCTCTGTGGGCTGGATTGTGGGTGCGCATGAGCGTGCGCACTCGCTAGTTCTGGCATCTGCGCAGAGGTGATTTTCGCCATCTGCGCATGCAAAGATGCAATTTCCAGCGCCGCGAAAGTGAGTCGTCCCCGCCGTGCTGCGCCGGTTTAGTGCAGTGTGCAGGGACTCACCAAGCAGGCAATCGGTTCGGGGGCGGCTCGTGGGCCAGCAAAACAACCCCCGTGGCCGCTTGTGACCCATGGGCCTTAGGTTGCCAACCCCTGGACTAAATGTACCTTTGGCCTGTTCTTGTCAAGCCGAGGTTGCTTATGCTGTTCACAAATGCTGTTCCAGGTGTCCTTGATTTAGAGAAGCTATCCTGGTTTCTGATTTGATCCCAGAATGTCCCGCTTTTCCTTAGGATGTCCCTATTTTCACTGGAGAAATGTTGGAGGGTCTGGAGTTATCCAGCTCCTGAGCCGTCGGAAGGCAATCCTGTATAGAGAAGGGTTTTTAAAAAAAAGTTTAATGTTTTATTATGTTTTTATATATGTTGAAAGCTGCCCAGAGTGGCTGGGGCAACCCAGTAAGATGTTTGGGGTATAAATAGTAAAATTATCGTTATGGAATGGGACATACCTATTTTCACTGGAGAAATGTTGGAGGGTATGTCGTTACCTCTATGCGGTTGACATTTCAGGTAAATGAGCACAGTTCAATTGTCTAGAAAACTTTAGTGACAAGAAATAATGAATAGGCAGAAATCTTTTCTGCTTTGTTCTCTCTTGCAGAAGTGGTCTCTTTGCTCTCGGCCTCCAATCCTATTTACTGTCTCCCATTAGAAAGCTAACTAAGAGATTAAAAGGAGAGATTACTTTAGAGGTACGTTTCAGGGTTAAGAATCCCGTCCAGTTCTATTTTAGCATTATCCTGTCGAGGTCTTGAAGGACTTTGATTATCAGGGAGCTTTAGAAACCAGAATTTCCAAAAACTTCATCCCATACGACATTTAAACATGGCCTTTTACCCAGGTTTGTTCATGTGAGGCCTGAATTGAAGGGTGCACATGTATGCATAGAAACCTCTTGCCTTTGTGTGCTGGGAAAGGACAGGTTGTACAGAGGTAGGGTTGCCATATTCCGAAGAGCAAAAAAGAGGACACATTTGTAGGTGGGATGGGGAGGGGAGAGGAAGAAAAATAGTAGTAATAATAATATGTGTGCAGGTGGATTGAAACATTTTGTGAGAAAAATTCGGGGCAACCCCCACCACCCCTGATCTCTGTCGCTTGCCCCCTCCCTGCCCCTGCTCGCCTGCCTGCTGACCCCCTCCTTCCCTCCCCTCTCTTCCCTTTGCTGGCTTCAACCCAGTGGCGGAGGAAGGGGGGGTTGCGGCCCACCCCAGGTGTCATCACTGGGGGGGACAGATGGACAAGATGAGTTTTTTCTTTTATTTTTATAAAATATTTATTAGGATTTTACAATAAACATAGGTTTAAAAAATTAAGAAAATTAAAGAAGCCCAGAATAAAACTTAAAATATTAACTGATGCAAAGGAACGAGGGGGATTTGCCCTGCCAGACTTTAAACTTTATTATGAATCAGCAGCATTCTGCTGGTTGAAAGATTGGCTGCTTCTTGAGAACACAGACATTTTGGATCTAGAAGGTTTCAATAATGTTTTTGGGTGGCATGCATACTTATGGTACGACAAGGT